TAGGGATGCTGGGGAGGGACTCTTCATTAAGGACTGTAGAGAGGACAAGGGGTAATATTTTACATACCAGCAACACTGTTAGCATATCATATGGCAGGTTTGTGAAAATGGGATCAAAAATTATTCCCCATACCCCAACCCTCTGGACACCTGTGATTTGTTGTTTCCTTTCTTCTCATACTTCAATGAAGACTTCTGTGACTACTGCTTTTGAAAATAGTACCTACTAGGTTTGCAAGAGACCACCCACATCCTGCTCTCTCTGGAACAGGAATACTTTATCTACTCATTACCTAAGTAATGACTTGGGACTTTCAGTCTGGTAAACATTTCAGGGCACATAAACATGCCTTCAGGTTTAACTTGACCACATTCTGAAAATCCATGCTAGTAACTGTTATTATATCTACATAAAGACACTTCAGTTGGAGGCATGAATTAATACCTGAGAGGTGCTTTAAAATGCTCTTCCTTGTGTCTTTACAGCCATTGAGCTGGTCTTTCATTTACAACATATAGGGATTTGTATTCATATTAGTGGTTGGCTCCCCTCTGACATTCTATTCCTGGATAGCTTTCAGGTCAGACAGGGTGCCAAAGCAGAGGTCAGAAGGCTTTAGCAGGTTGTAACATCATTAAATTAGTGTTCAAATTCAGATGAATGGCCTTAAATAGTCATGGGAATGTATCTTTACAACAATCTCAAATCTGCTCTGATTTCCCTGCCTACAAATACCCACAGCCATCAGCTGCTAAGTGCTGGCATCTGCTCTACCACATCCCTTTGTAAAGTGGGCTGAAAGACTTACTGAGAGGACAGCTACCCTAACTGTGGAGAGAGGAGCAGGTGCAAGGATAAATCCTGCAATTATGGCTTATGGCAGTTGAATTTTAGAGCAGCTACACTTGGGACTAATGACAGAGCTTCTCTTTTGGGATTTTTTTCTTTTTTGTTTGATCATTTTGTAGCAAACTTGCTGCAGCTCTTCCCTGCAGCCCATTCTGAACTACACACTTCCCTTGGACACCTACCTCCTAGTCAAATTATGTTCTTGTCCTAGAATATTATCAATAAATTCACCATGATTTTTTTCTTCTCACATTTTTTAGATTACATACATTTTAGCTGACCAATTCTTTTCATGCTCAAATATATTACAAAATGTCATTTCTGTTATAAAAGCTAATTGATAATGTGATTTGTTATGTTGCTGAGACATAATTCAGAAAGTTATTTTAAAGCCGTTGATACATGGAATAGCACTAACTCTTTAATATTTCTTGTATGAATGGATACAGTACAAGGGAACGATGTGGTGCCATGTAGATGAAATATTTTCAGAAGCTTTTATTCTTGTTGTTTGGGCTCGTGCCAATGTCTTTCTAGGAGAGAGCTCATATGTCCTAAGCTCTATCTACTGTAATTTATTCCTTGGTCATTAGTGGGATTTCTTTCCTCCAAGTTGCTGAACAATATATAATACTTTGAAAATTAGGAGCTCACAGTCAAATAACTGGAGAACATTCTCTAAAGTACTCCTCCAAAAAGTAGAAAAATATTTTTTATTTAGTAATCTTTTTATTGTTATATTGATTAACATAATAAAAAGAATTTCTTACTCTCATGAGACCTGGCTGGAGTACTGCATCCAGTTCAGAGGCCCAGTACAAGAAACACATGGACCTGCTAGAACAGGTCCAACTCAAACCGTTCTGTGATTCTATTTACACAATATTAATACTAGGATTTCCCTTTTTGAATTTGCTATTTGTATGTACTTAATGAAGGGTTTAAAATACTCATGTCAGTATTTCATCACTATTATTCCCATTGCAGTTGTTAGGGAGTATTCTTTCTCTACAAAATCTTATATGAATCAAAAGTCTTAATTCCATTTTTGTGTCTGTAGCCACTACGAGATAAACGTACCCCTCTTTGCTCCTTCTGTGCTGCACACAGATTTCTTTTGCTTTTATTGTCACCATCTATTGCTTCACTCTGTGGGGAGAAAGCTTGCTATTGTTAGTCCAGAGAATTTGCTGCAAGAGCACCTCACATCTTTGGGGGTTTGGGTATTTTGGGGGGGGGGGGGGGGGGGAGAATTTTTTTTAATTTGATTTTGGTTTGATTTCAAGCCTCGACACAGCCTGTTTGAGACCTGGCATGTTTTTCGTTCCATGAGCACAGAAGACATTTGAGAAACTATCTATTTTTCTCTCTCTCCTAATTCTAGACCCCACATGAGTGGGTGCTGCCTTATAATTCTCAACTGATGGCCAAATGACTCAACAATAAATGGAAACATTTCAATTTGGTCTATGAATATGCTCTGAACTATCTGTTTATCTGTCATGTCCCATTTCTTGAAACAGAGTTGTTACACCTTAAAATTCTTAAGTGGGAACTATTACATTTCTGCAAAAACTTCTAAATTGTGGAAAATGTGTGTATCACAAAGATGCTTTTTAAATACAGAGACTCATTAGGCATATTACAGTGCATTTATCATTAACTAAGTGGGGTCTTTTTATGTTTCCTAATTAAAACTCATGTTTTGCTCACAGAGGAGTCCTACAGCCTAAACTTTCAATAACAATCTGAGGAATATCAGGAAAAAAAAAGCTTTTAGTTCTTTATTCAAATCAGGTTCTGAAACACAATTTTTCTGCAGCATTCCTTCTCAATCTTCCTTTGTTCAGTTCCTTCATAATTACTGTCTTTAACAGATAAACATACTGAACTCTAAAACTACATCACCTGAGCTGCTGCATCCTTTCTCTGTCTAAGCACCAGGTTCTCCTTTATTAAATTGTCATTGTAAATTTAAAAGAAATATAAAATGTATTAATTCTTCCATGCTCCTCTTTTTTTTTGAAATCATTCCAAATTCTACTAAATATCTTTTCCTGAAGTGACTCTTTACATTTGTATGATTATGCCACTGCTCACTGCTACAAACATGTAATGGAAAAGAAGATACTATTTCTGGTACTAATTCCTGAAGGAATGAACTAGATGTCTTCTTATGTCACAGAATCCATATCCACTGTCACCTAAAGTATAGTTTATCATCTACTCGTGCAGTCCTACTGTTATTAATGATTTTACTGAGTGGTATTTAGCACAGTAATATAGAGAATACTCTCCTAACACCCCAGGCAATATGGTTATGACCACACTTCATGGCTGTAAGTCAATTATTTTTTTACTGCCTCAGAAATGCCAATCAGACATATGTAATTATGCATGCCATCCACTTTTATTATACCTACCCAGTATACATTGCCTATTTGCAGGTATTCTACCACAGTTTCTCTGATTAGTATTTCCAGTATCTTAGTTGCAACAAGTAAAGCTTTCAGGTCTGAAGTTTCCTGGATAAGGCCATAACTCTTTATCAATGCTTTCTCATCAAGTAGTGCTGTCAGATTGTAAAGAAATTTTTAGTCATACTCATTCATCTTTCTGACAGAGGTTGTTGCAATGTAGTTAGGGCTAAAGGATCTAATACAAATGGGAATATTTTTGGAAAAAAACACTTTTGTAGATTAAGTAAGTTATTTCCATCAGTTTCAGAAATAAAACTACAGTAGCAAACTACTGAATAAGCCCACTGTACCTGGGTATCAATGGTTTTTCTAACCTCTACAATCTTGCAGTTTTTATCCTGGATTGTTCTCATTATACAACACTATCATTTCTAAAGCACAAACACTTTTCTGACTTGACTATTTTTGAAATCTCTTATTGCAAGAAGATGGAAGTTAGTACAAATTAGTGAAAACTGTCACATAGCAAGGCAGACAAGGCTTCAGGATTCCCCTTGAATACGCTGATTTTTAAAGCCTTTTACATTACAGAAAAGAGACAACACTAGAAAGATGTCATTCCAGGTAAGAAAAGCAATGAACAGCAAGGAAATACAGTTTCACAGCAATCAATGTGTTGGAGAATAATGTGGAAATTAATCTAGGAAATAATTAAAACAATATAGTGGACATTTGCAATACCAAACAAGTGTGGACATTTGCTTCATTCAAGCGAAGTTGCTTCTTCAAACTCAGAAATCCTTGAGCTTCCCAAATACCATGCCTGCGAATTTAAAAAAGCAGCTGTGTAACAGTGATGTAGTGAAAAGGTACCTGGGAAGATCTAAACAGAAACAAACAAATAAATGTGAGAATGTGGGGAAAGGGACTCATGCCAATACCTGGTGAAACATGACAAGTTCCAGACTTGAAAATATCTTACACTTAATCCTTAATTTTCAGGCTGGATAACTTAAGTACAGTCTAGGATCCCTTCTTTACTTAATTTGTATTGCTACTGAATGCCCAGATACATGCCATAAAAAAATATGTATCCCCTATGTCTAAATAAAGAAGAAAATGACATCTAAAGGGAATAAAAATAATGCATGTTATAGAACACAGTTTGACAGAGCAGTATATAAGGTTATCTAATTAAATTGTAAGAGCACAGGGGAATGAAGCACAAAATTCTTATTCTACTGTGTGAATAAAAGAAAGTATTTTGCATGTCATGATTTTGTAATTATGGTCTATATAGGCCTATAAATCTTACCAGGTTTTAATTAACTATAGCACAGCAGGTAGCCAAGAACAGTGTCTTTTCAGTGCCATTTTAATGATCTATCAGGCACACAAAAAAAGTATCACAGGAAACAGACATCACCATTTTATTGGGGGGGAAAAAAAGAGGAGAGTCTTAAAATGGTTTTCACTGCAATAGTGATCATAGCTTCGTATTTTCCACAAATGCTAAATTATTTTATTTCTATTTCTACTGTTACCATTACAAATACAGCTTTAAAGTACGTATTTGAAAAGTGCATTGTTAATTAACAGAGCAGGTTACAAAATCTATACAAATAATGACCTTATCTGGGATTTTGGAATAAGTTAATATAGCTTCATATGTTATTCAGGAAAACTATAGGAAAATAAAGAAGGTGAAACTTATTGAACATTTCTGTTTTCTAATTAACCTGCAACTACTGCTACGTAAGAAGTTAAAAATCGATTCAAGTCAAATGATGTTAGTTGGTACATTTTTAAGCTATGCTCCTGTTAAATCTTCCATGTAAGAACAAAATACATCAAGGAAAAGTTTTTGCAAATGGAAGAACTGACAACAATACATTCCTATTCCATTCATGCATCAATGCCCAAAAATACCTGCCTAATTTCCTTTAAAATGTGTTGGTACTCACCAAATTCTCCTAGGAATTCATTGAGTTCAGAGTATTAACTGAAATCTCTAAATTCTATGTATTTTATATTTTTCTGACACTTTTTCTAATATCGAACTGCTTACATCCAAAATTTAAATCAGTCTATCAGCAACATGTACACTTTTTTTAAGCTCACCTCTCCTTAGGCCATATAGAATAAAGCATCTACTACATCTTTAAATGCCAAGTTTGCCCTGTGCACAGTGTAGTGGCATTCCCAGTAAGAAAAGTCTGACACAAATTACATAATAATTATATTGGGTAAACCATATAGCACACAATTGAAAAAGGATGGATGAGTTGCAGGAAGACTTGAGGAAGTGGTCTGTTCTTCTGCTTTGTGTCTAGGAGAGCTGAGAGAATCCACTTCCACTATAAAAATATTTTAAAAAACATTATTTCTGAACACAACTGCAGCGATCTATCACATCTTCTCTTTCATTAACATTTGTGGCTCTCTTACATTTTTTTTTATAATATTAATAACTGCCAGTATATCCAACAAGCATTTTCTGAAAAAAATAACCTCAAACCATAAAACTAGGCAACATTTCTGACTTGAGCTCTCTCCCTCTTCAATTCTATGGCAGTGTAAGTTATAACCAAAATTTATTGCATTTACCCTTAAGAGGTAAGTCCCATACAATGAAAAATAGCTACATAATTTTATAAACAGTATATTACAAGTTGATTTATTCAAAAATCCTTCTCCCCTCTCCAACAGGATGCCAGGTGGAATTTCATATATATAGTGTGCCCTTTGCAATGCAGACTGCCTAGTCACTGCAGGTTCAACTGATCTTTCTGCAGTCTATAATCCATACCATTTATATTCTTCATGTCATGCTCCTGAGGTAACTTTTCAGTCACACTACTTCATTTTATAACATTTTAGTGGAGTGTAAATTTTAGCTTTTGGTCAGCTATGACAAAGTCTCCTTCCAAATTTTATATATGTAAATACAGAGACTCCAATTATAATATTGTATCAGTGGTCTTCCCAGCCACAATTCCTGTAAGATGTGTCAGGAAAGATTGTCACAGCTCATCTGAAAGATTTCACCTATATCACTGAACTACCCATAGATCTAGTTAACATGCACAGGCAGTCTTCTCTACTAAGCCTGTTAATTCTTACTTTCAACAGAATCTCTGTCTCTGTTAATCTTCCTCTTTTGAAGGCTATGGACTGTCTGCCCAGTTGTTCTAGCAATGCTCAACAAATCTGGAAAAAAAAAAAATGATAGTTTCTGTGAGTTTCCATTTAATGTTTTGAAGACAAGAAAATACAAACCATAGAGCCTGGTGTCTCCACATTTAAAACTTAACTAAATCCGTAAAGGTATCCTGTTTCATTATCTATCTCTGAAGATATAAGTTATCTGTAGCTTTTGTTTTCCCCATAGTTTATGTAACTCCAGGGTACAAAGTCCTAGGGCACTGCTTCTCACCATAGAAATCCTATTCTTACCATATGACCGCAAATAAATTCCCCTCTAAAACTATTCAAGTAGGTTACTGTTCTGTTTGAAACATCAACCTGTCAAGAACATGGTGGCTCCTGCATGCAGATTACCTCCTACAGAAACTCCAGACAAAATCTGGTGAGGAGCAAAGGAAGAGGAGAGATAGGAGATGAGTAGATACACATGCTCCATGAGTGCATGCATACAAATGTCGGAAATAACATACCTGCAAATGAAGCCGAATACAAATACTCACTCTCAGACAGTATCTCTAGCCTTTCCGCATTCTCTTGCAAGGTAGTGTACCACTGGTTGGCTATTATAGAACGAACACCAGTAAGGCTTAGAAGCATGGCTGACTCTGTTGGTCTCTCTATCGCAATACATAGACAACTGAAGAAAAAAAGTCTGAGATCACTAAACTAAAAACAGAAGTAATATATCAACAAATACAACTAAATGTACAATGCTTTTTAATAGAAGGGGAAAGGGCATGATGGACTGCATTTTCTTGTATGCTGAGCATAAAGTCTTTTCTAATATTCATACAACACGTTAAATTTAATACAAAAAATTTAGGTAACTTCCACCTATATCTTTTCATGATGCAGTTTCACCATGTGATTGTCCCTGTCATGTTACTGTTCTGGACTAGTTGAAGGAATTGTATTTTGTTTTGGTCTAGGAAATGGCTGTTTGGGGAAGGTAGAAAAGTAAAAAGTATTATTAAAAAGTATTAAAAAGGAAAACACCCGGAGGTTGTTTAAAAACTTGGAGACCTGCATAATTACATTTGTAGATGTGTGTATAATGTATTTTGCACAAAAATAATTTTAACTCACACATTGTTGCATTGATTAAACAGTATTTTTAGAGAGGTGAACTCTTCCCTGAGGTGTAGATATAAGCGCTTCTCCTTGGAGGAGTAAATGAAAATTTTTGCAACTTACAATTTTAAATTTCCTTTGCAATAAAAATAATCTGCCTTCTTGTGAGCTTTAAAGAAATAAACTTTATTCTACCTTTTGTGGCTATCAGAGTTTGTAATTCTTTGATGACTTTGCTTGGATCGCACCAGATCTAGAAGTATCATCAAATGGCATTCTGGAAAAAACAGTATGTTATAGCACTGGTATTTGCACTAAGAATCATAGAATCATAGAATAATTAGGGTTGGAAAGGACCTTAAGATCATTCAGTTCCAACCCCCGTGCCGTGGGCAGGGACACCTTATGCTAAATCGTATCACCCAAGGCCTCGTCCAACCTGGTCTTGAACACTGCCAGGGATGGAGCATTCACAACCTCCCTGGGCAACCCATTCCAGTGCCTCACCACCCTCACAGGAAAGAATTTCCTCCTTATATCCAATCTAAACTTCCCCTGTTTAGGTTTTAACCCGTTAGCCCTTTGTCCTGTCACTACAGTCCTGTCACTACAGTCCCTCTCCAGCATCCCTATAGGCCCCCTTCAGGTACTGCAAGGCTGCTATGAGGTCTCCACGCAGCCTTCTCTTCTCCAGGCTGAACAGCCCCAACTTTCTCAGCCTGTCTTCATACAGGAGGTGCTCCAGTCCTTGATCATCCTCGTGGCCTCCGCTGGACTTGTTCCAACAGTTGCATGTCCTTCCTATGTTGAGGACACAAGAACTGCACACAATGCTCCAGGTGAGGTCTCACGAGAGCAGAGGGGCAGGATCACCTCCTTCGACCTGCTGGTCATGCTCCTTTGGATGCAGCCCAGGATACGGCTGCTTTCTGGGCTGCAAGCGCACACTGAAGCCGGCCCATGTTCATTTTCTCATCAACCAACACCCCCAAGTCCTTCTCTGCAGGGCTGCTCTGAATCTCTTCTCATTATGCCCAACATAATAAATATAAGTAAATCAGACCTTTCATAAGTTAACAACTTTCTTAGACACAGCCTAAGCAATATAAAATTTATATATTTCAGCCAAAATTGTCAATTATTACATAAAATAACAGTAATAAAGTAATCCTAATATTACTTGAGGTAGCTTTGATACACTATTCCACATTATTCTGCAGATTGTTTTCCTATGCCACCTTAGTACAATTAATAATGAAGTCCTTATTACAGGCTAATGTCCTATATAACTGAACCCTGTAGTTATAAAATCTTGTTAGAGGTTATAGTATGGAGGTATGGAAATGTTATCCATCGTACCTCCTTTATGGAAGTTAGGACCAAGTAACACCTCAAGCATTCCTTATTTTCCTTAAAAGCCTCCAGTGAAATAACTTAGAATACTCTTAGAATTAAAAGCTTTCCCAAGAAGTTTGATTTGCTGCAGCTTAGACCTGTTACTTAATTCTCCTAACCTAAGCAGATGAGAAGCAAATTACCTTTCTGCTTGGAAAGCCTTTTACCTACTTGAGAACTATTATCATGTCTCCCCTCAATATGTTAATCTTTCTTCCTAAGTATGTTTTGCATGTATATATACATATGACCGCACACACATATTTATTAATAAAATGATGCATGCTAATCTGTGGTATAGACTTCTGACCACTCTTAAAAGTTTTCCACTGTTAACTTATTCTATTTGGTCAATATTCTTCTCCAGCTGAGAACTTTGCAAAACTAAGTAGAGTGGGGAATCATTTCATGTATCTTGCAAATGACACTCCTTTATTAACCCTATACACAGCTTAGGGTTTGGTTTCTTTTTCCCTAGCAATATGATGTTTAATTTGTGATACATCTCTCGACTCTATTCTGTAATTCTGACCCTTAAGCAGCAATCCCCTAATTTATTCATGTTTAACTGATTATTTCTGCTTAAGGGTAACACCTCCCTCCAGCCTTTCCTGAATTACCCCCTGCTAATTATCCCCATAAAACAAGGTTAATTTAGATTCTAATCCTGCATTTCAGGAGCTGCTGAGCCACCTCATTCTCATATCCTGGTTCAGCAATGCTACATTCTATTTCACCATGTAAATGACCAGCAACAATATCTAATAACACTGGGTCCAGGGTATACCCTCAGAAACCTCAGACATGGTTCACTGTTATTAATAAAAGTACTTTTAACATAAAGATTGTCTGTACAATAGATTCAAACTCAGCCTGCAAGACAACAGTAATTGTATCAGCTAACAAGTAAAAGTTGTGTAGGCAGTCAGAAAACAAAACAATCCTTTGAGAACTAAAATAAATTAATTTCAGATTAGTTAATTCTCCATTAAAGGAAGATGCACTGGAGAATCAATCCTGGCATACCTTAAGAGCAGGGCACAGGGTGAGGGTTAACAAGGAGCTCAGGAATGTTCCAAAAGTTGTGAGATCTGTAATTATCTCATCTACGGACACCTGACCTTCAACTTCAGGAGTGACCAATGTATGTAAGAAGACTTATTTCTTATTGATTTCCAGTAAATAAGTATATTTACATATACATGTTTAAATCACTTTGAAACATCAATGCTTTCCGAAGAAGCTTCCTGTTGCTTTGCAGGGCTTCACAATCTGATGTGTATTGTCCTCCTCCATTTTACATCTCAACACAATATAGGAATACAGCAATTCAGCTACCCTGACAAATTCAGCACAACTCCAAAGTTGAGCTTCCTCCAGACGTGTAAGGGGAACAGGAGCAGAAAGGAAGATTGTGAATCAAAAAAACCAGTCCTGAATCTGAGCATTATGCTACAACACCAGAAAGACTAAATAGTTGTGAAGCAGAGAAAACAAAAAACAACCACCCTTCTCAGAGTCTACAACTGCTCCATAATAACACAGTAATCATTCAGCATTAACCCAGTCTTGACAGACAATTCTGCTTTGCCTCGGTGGAGACTGAGGAATTTTGTTGAAGGGGTACTGCAGAGGTTGCTCTTCACAGTAAAAAATACTTCATTGCCAAAAATTAAATTTCACAGAAAAGGAGAAGAGTTACTGGGAAAACCATCAGGTAATGACTCAATTTTTGCCACTTAAATTCTAACATTTGGAAGTGGAGAAGGACTAAACTGACTTGTGCGGGATAACAAGAAAGCTGTGCAACAGAATACAATCTACAAAATGCAGAGTTTTCTGGATTAAAACCCTGGATCTTGAAAAAAGCCCTTAAATGCCGACATCAATACCATGACCATGATACAGTGTGAAATATACACAACTGGGAACAAAAGGTGGTGCAATTAAGAAATATTTTTAAGTTTGCTTATCTTACCTGGGATATTCATAGCAACCAGTCTGTTGAGTAAAATGTGAGACATGAATCTCTCCATTCCATAGAACAGAAATGCACTGCAGTTTGGCAGCAGCTGCTCCCATTCAGCTTGGCTGAAAGGAAGAAAGAAGAAAGAAAGGAAGCTAATTTTGTGGAACTATTTTACAAGAGTAGTTTTCAGAAATTATCCAGAACAAACACTTCAGTACTATTTACTCCAGAAATGTTAATAAGAAAAGGCAGCATGCAAAGCAAGGAGACAGACAAGACTGCAGAATTCTATGGAAAGTGCCATAACTCATATAGATTATTAGTAACAATTATTTTAATAGAGGCATACTTACTAACATCTCATAGTAAACAAGAGGCACAGTGTATTTTTTGATAAATACTAGACTCTCCTAAAAACCCCCAGTTCTACAGCTTTGAAATAACAGCATTTAGCCTAACATTCAGTTGGAATATTCATGTATGCATCCATCAGGATATGAAAGAAATAGGTTTCGAAAAGAGATGGTACTAATCAGCTTGCTGGCAGCAAACCCCATGCAATTTGATAGCAGGCAACAGTCTTTTGTACCTGTTATTAAGAAACACTAGAATGATGTTACTTAAGTAGAGATTTCAAAAGGCTGACTAAACTAGCATTTATAAAGGAAGGTCCAGTTAATGACTGCATTAACACAGGACTCGACCTCCTGAGATCCCTTTTATCAATCCATTGCTATGATAATAGAATCATAGAATAGTTAGGGTTCGAAAGGACCTTAAGATCATGTAGTTCCAACCCCCCTGCCACAGGCAAGGACACCTCACACTAAACCATATCACCCAAGGCTCTGCCCAACCTGGCCTTGAACACTGACAGGGATGCAGCACCCACCGCTTCTTTGTGCAACCTGTGCCAGTGCCTCATCACCCTCACAGTAAAGAACTTCTTCCTCATATATAACCTGAACTTTCCCTGTTTTAGTTGAAACCAATTCTCCTTGTCCTGTCGCTAGAGTCTCTGACGAAGAGTCCCTCTCCTGGATCCTCGTAGACCCCTTCAGATACTGGAAGGCTGCTCTGAGGTCTCCACGCAGCCTTCTCTTCTCCAGGCTGAACAGCCCCGACTCTCTAAGCCTGTCTTCATACAGGAGCTGCTCCAGCCCCTGATCACCCTCGTGGCCTCCTCTGGACTTGTTCCAACAGTTCCATGTCCTTATGTTGAGGACACCAGAACTGCACAGCTGACTCAATGTGTGTGTAGATGCCACAGGTTTTAATACTGGGATTTAAAAACAGTTATGAACAAAGCTAGAGATTACATTTATGCTTACATATCATATTCATCAAAGACAGCAGCAGTAGAATTTTTGTCAAAATTTGATTATCTACATATATAGCAACTTTGATGCAACCAATCTGGCTAAGTCACTTTGTGGCATGGTTTTTCAGACACCTAAAATATTGAGTCTACAAATCTAAATATATGTTTGAGACAAAGACAATGGTTACCTACGCATTTATCACCTCAGGAAAAAATGACTTTATTCTATGACTGAAGCTTCTGGGTATAGGCACAATTTAAAAAAAAAGAAACATGAATAAAACATGAAAGCAGATAAAATGTTACAAACCTTGGAACATGTATGCTGCCAATAACTCCTTCCCACTGCTGTGTAAATAGGTCATGGTATTTTTCTAGGATTTCCTTTATTTTTAGGGAAGGACTTAAAGCTTCTGTAACACAGAATTTCATCATTATATGCTTACCATGCTACAAACGATGCTAATCTTAATTTCAGCAATTTTGAAATGACAATTCAGGGGGTTTTAGGCCATCATAAGATCTTCAGTTTTTTGAAACTTAAGCCTGTCTTGTAATTCCCATTTGAAAGGTATTTTTTATAACTGACAAGGATCATTTGTAGACAGGTAAAAGATTTTAAACGCACAAACAAAAAATTCTAGATACCCTAAGGAAAGCATAAAGTTTTGAAAACACCAGAACCACTCCACCAGTTCTGCCCCAGGGACTCAGAGAGGACTTAAGTCAACGGAGAAAATAACCAAATGTCCAGTTTGCTAAGCAGTGCTAAGCAGCATTGCGTTGATCAAAAGCTAAGCTTTTTTTGTCAGCATCCTGATGTCATGACTTCATTTTCTGTTACAAAAATTCCTAAATTCCATGAGTAGTTTGTGGGGAAAATATGATTTATTATAGATTACCTGCTTCTCTTCCTTCATTGTAGGGGTCCACGATATCTGATAAACAGTTAAGTGTAAACAACACGATGCAAAGAACAAAAAAAGGAAGTTTAATGATACACTTAGCTAATGGTTTGTGAAAGGATACATTTAAAACTATTTGTATCAACAGGCAAGCAATTAGAGGGTAAATCATGATTACCTGGAGCCTACAATTAAAAAGAATACAAATTCTATTACATGTATAAGTCTCAATCAAGTAATGACAATCTTGCATTCTTTGTGTCAAACAACTAACAAAAAGATGCTCTAAAGTTTTGAAGGTAGGATTAAAAGCAGCACAATACTCAATTGTCAATGGAAATTTAAAACATGAGCTATTCTGCATTATATACAATGCATACACTTACACATCTGTGTGCACATGTATAGATCTATATGCATACATACATATATATTCATAAAAATAAGTGCATACACTATATAAATATACTATATTGCTGGGGGAAGTATTTTAGTAACATTAAGCAACTTCCTTGGTGAGTTGTTAAATATGTCACATTTACACAAAGTATGATTTTCAAAGGAACAACTCTGTCATTATTGCAAAATCAAGAAAACCCCAAATTCCTATGCAAAGACATGATATTTATTCCAGTTCAGAATAATAAGCTTCCATGTAAGCCACTTGTAGTTCATTAACACTTTTTATAGAAAAGGAAGAGCTACTTCTATTGCGTTTGTTTTAAACATGTGCCAAGTTCACCTTTTTGACACTCTTTTTCTGATGAGCTTTTGGTTTTGTTCCTTTGGATATTCCAACATCTGTTTTGACTTCAGACTCTGTGGAATTGAAAAGAACAGATTTTAATTTTTTTTTTTTAAAGATATGGGCAGTTTTAGAAAATACAACTTTCCTGAAGTACTACTTGTGTTTGTAACAACTGATGTAATAACAGTAACGGATTGAACTAGAAAATAAGAATTAATTTCACACCACAGCAAGGAAAGGACATTCCCCAAACCCTCTTGCCTAAAAATAATTTTAAAGTGGAAACCAAGTGAGAAATGTGATCTCTTAGACATGCAAATGCTTCATTACATTGCAGAATCAGGACAGAGCTGAACAGTGATTATCAAAGCACTTTCTACGGCTATTGCCATATCGATTAATTGTTGATGTTACTGGAATAACTGAAGTTTCTGAGACAAACAGAGATCAAAAGGAAAAAGAAACTTTCATATTTGAGTCTGATTTTTTTATTTCTTTAAGGAATGTTTAAAAAGCACAGAAAACTGACTTGTATTTCTCACTGTATCTGTGACTATCACCCAAAGTGCATGTCTTGGCCAGTTATCAATGGAGGGCACTGCAAGTTGGTGGATGTTTGAGAGATGCATTATCACTCATATGGCTAGTGCTTATCTCCTCACTCAGTGCTATTTGCATAATTGCATAAACAGAGACTTTTCAAGTCTGTTTCCTCTCATTTATCCACTTCTAAAATCACAAGTTTTCACTTTAAAAATGGAAAAACAGAAATGAAAAAAACCCCAACACATGTTCTAAACCTCCTGTTTGTAACAGACCTGTACCAGTATATGAGGGTATATTTAGACTAAAAATATTCTAATCGCAGATTATTCAGTTTTTTCCCTTTAGAAAGGAAAAGTGAAATGGAAGAACAGAGGATGGATTATACGGAAGGCACTAAATATTACAGATATAAACACAATACAAGAACTTATCCCAAACAGAGTATTTTCATAGTACAGGGTGAGATTTTCTAAACTTAGCCTAATTTTTAGCTTAGGTCCACTAGTTTTAATAATTTCAGTTAAAATGTGTTTTTATCTATGCAGGAGCAAAACGTGCCTTCAAATTTTTAACTTCAGTAATAAAAGGTATCTTTGATTTATAAAAAAAAATGTTTAGTGCCTGGATTTATTACTCACTTTCAGAATAAGCAAGAAATGAGTTTTAAGATGCCATAAGGACAAGGTTACCAACTGTCCAACTACCTCACTTAACAAACTGATTTCACTGAAGAGCTCATACAGGGTGCATTTGCAGCAATGAAAGTCCATAGACAGCCTGTGAGATATGGTTTTGGTCATGCATAGTAGAAGAATCAATGGACTGAAAAAAAAGGAGCTCTTAATGTAATCTTAGCTACAGAGAGAGGAGGCAGCTCAATTAAATGTTTTCATGCTTGATATTTTCAGCAAAGTCTCACACCAATGTTAAAGAAAATTAACAGAAGTCTGAATTCTTACTTTAGTTTTTTCACTGCAGCTAAAAACAGCTTTAAAGAGTTTAAGACCATACTTGTATAACTGAAACTTTGCAAGCCAATTTATGTTTCACAGAGTTTTACATAATTCTTTAATATATAGATGTTATTTTAAATTAGCTAGCACTGCAACTATGATCAGCCTGTACATTACTGAAATAAGTCTACTGTACTATCTATTCCATTTAATATACTGCAAACCTATTGCATGGGGCAGTCTTCCAGTAAAATATAATATACCATTCATATTATTTAAATAATTTTGTTCACTGCATCAGTATGCTAATGCAAAGCATGTTTAATAGTACCTGACTTAGCCAGATGTACTCGATTGTACAGAATCTGGAGAGAAAAATCTCTGGATACAGAACTTACTCCTTCCTCTTTAAAGATACTCAGAGCTTCCAAAGGCAATTCCATAAATAATGTATCTCCTAGTAATACCACACATAAACCTAAATCCACAGGTGTACCTGAAGAATGTGACAGAACATGACTGAGATTTAGTAGTTCTCAATATGCATATAAATAACTGAAGTTACATGTAAAACTTAATTTCCTCTATCATCATTTTACTGCGGATTAAGCGCATTATGCAAAAACATTTCTTTTGATGCTGTTACTCCAAAGACGTCAAAATTTTATGCATATGCACTTGTGAGCACTGATTATTAGAGGAAAAAATATCATAGAATCATAGAACAGATAGGGCTGGAAAGGGCCTTAAGATCATCTAGTTCCAACCCCTCTTCCATGGGCAGGAACACCTCACACTAAACCATGGCACCCAAGGCTCTGTCCAACCTGGGCTTGAACACCACCAGGGATGGAGCATTCACAGCTACCCTGGGCAACCCATTGTATTAATAACCAACCATCTCAGATTGAAGACCAGGTATATGCAATACATTCAAGAAAATTATGTTTGGAAATGCAAAGTTGCCTTAGCAGTGTTTGGCTAAAAAGTATTGCATTGTAAAGGAGCTCTTATCCAATACCAACTCTGCCTTTCCGTAGGAAACTTCTTTCTGTTACTCACTAAAAAAGGACTGAATATCATTATAAAAACATTTTCCTGTTCTACACAGAAGCAACAAATACACGGAAGACAAGTTAGTCTTTGCAGAACGACATAAGCAGTCAGATGCCAGATTACAGAAAGATACTCCTGCAGGTAAAAACAAATGCATATGTGTATATTTTTTTGGTAATCTTTCACTGAGAAACTTCAGTGCTCCCCACCATAAAGAAAAAAACTCATTTCCAAAAGCAAGCCATGGACTTCATTGCCTCTTCTCCTGGAACATGTTTATGGACAGATTCCAGCATTAGGCTTGTATTACTGCAAACAAAAAATTAAAAAATGCAAAAAAACCCCTGTGTGAGAGTTCATAAAGTAAAAAGCTGGAATAGACAAAACAAAGAGATCAACAGACTTAAAGTTCTTCCTTTTAGTCTTTCTCCTGAAAAAAAAATGGTTTGTTATAAAGCCATTATATTTAGCTCTCTAAAGCCTGTATAATGATCGGGGACTGGAGCACCTCCCGTATGAAGACAGGCTGAGGAAGTTGGGGCTGTTCAGCCTGGAGAAGAGAAGGCTGCGTGGAGACCTCATAGCAGCCTTCCACTACCTGAAGGGGGCCTATAGGGATGCTGGAGAGGGACTCTTCATTAGCGACTGTAGTGACAGGACAAGGGCTAACGGGTTAAAACCTAAACAGGGGAAGTTTAGATTGGATATAAGGAGGAAATTCTTTCCTGTGAGGGTGGTGAGGCACTGGAATGGGTTGCCCAGGGAGGTTGTGAATGCTCCATCCCTGGCAGTGTTCAAGACCAGGTTGGACAAGGTCTTGGGTGATATGATTTAGTATAAGGTGTCCCTGCCCACGGCAGGGGGGTTGGAACTAGATGATCTTAAGGTCCTTTCCAACCCTAACGATTCTATGATTCTATAATTTGGAATACTGTAAATACATGCAGAAGGACAGCTCAACCCAGCATGTAAGTGACCTTTTGGAAGTATACTAAACTACTTGACCTGATACAGTAAACAGACAAAACTACTGCAGAAGCCTTTTTCTTCTCCCTGGCTTCAAAAAGACTGAAACTAAAATGACAGGATTCTGATATCTGTTCCGCGACACACATATATACATATATTGTACTCAAGAGAGCATATACCCTGTGCTGTGGAGTGTTTGGTGTTTTGATCTTTCATTTTCATTTTTCTTGATTCAGCTGCTGAAACTGGTGTGCTCCGTTCTCTGGGAAGAGGAATTACAGTGAAAATATTACCAGCACTAACACTTACGTAAGTAAAAGTTTCAGAGAAAACAAACAAAACTGCTTCAATCTCAATGAAATTTTACATAAAGGATGTACTCCCTTTGGAGTTCCTGCGCTCTTTACTATTTAAATTATGATGTTTCATCCCGAACACTATATTGCATAACTTAAACTGGAGAAGAGTGCCTGTCAAAAATGGCCATTAGTCTATCATGGTTCAATTCTCTCAGTCTTGCATATCCTGCATATATTGTTTTTCAAGACGAAAGAAGTTCATTCAATGGGGTCTATTCTTGCTGAAATCACTCCTGTATTTTCAGGACTTGAGTTACCATTTTATTTTCACAAATGATGATAAACCAAGTCTAAGTGTCTTACCTGACATCAGAAAAATCAACATGTGACAGCACTGGTTTCAGATATTCTTCCATCATTTCTAGTATTTCAGAGAAATCTGATGTCAAACCATGTCCATTATCATGTATTTTCTCTGTTGGAGTCTATTGCACATATTGCAACAAAAAAAAAGAATACTTACAAAATGCTATTCAACATAAGGATCAAGGCTAATGAAACATCATGAAATGGAAAATACAGAACTATTCAAAACTACTTTACTTCAAAACATCACCCTTATCAGCATTTTGCAACATATTCTAACATAGGAATCAGTACAGGATGTCAATATTTATTATTTAAGCAACTAACATACTCCTGCAAGTTCCGTGAGAAATGACAGGGAAGTCCAGCAGAAAGGAAAAATACTCAGTAGTGGGACTCCAAATAATGGGAAGAAACTGTGAAAGCACAACTTTGAGAAGTAAACAGAAACTGCAAAACTGATGTAGAAGAAGCAAATGAAAGTGCATGGAGAGATCAGTGGAGCCCATTTTAGAAAAAAATAAAGAGAATTAAGAAAATAGGTAAGGAGAGAATAGAATCATATAGGAGAAGATGACACAAAAAACCTTAATCTTCCAGAAGCTAATAAAAATGGAAACAAAACCGAGCGCAACTAAATGGCAAAGAATGTGGGTATTAATGAATGGACTTCTCACCCACCACTCTCTTTGTGTGACTCTGGGCAGGTTGCACGCGTAATTACTGGAAGTTTTAATGCACAAGCATTTTAAAAACCTAAACCAATTCCTTTTATTTTTGTGTCTGTGTGTCTTTTCTAACTGAATTTATCTTATCACCGTTTTCTTTATTTACGCAACTAAAACAATCTTTACATAACTTGCCATTACAAAAAAGGCTGCCCATACAGAAAAGTGATCATTCATCCATCTGCATTAATTGATTTTTGAACTGAAAGAAGCTAACATGATGAATAGAAGAGTATTATAGTTCAAGAATCAGATGTGTGAAAGTTGTAGGATTAAAACAATCAGCACTTGAGCAGAAAATTTAATCTTATCTATAATTTTTACCTTTATATTAATGATGGAAACAGGTCTATACCAACTTTTGTTAATATGCTATATTTAACAGTGAATTTTGATATTGAATAACTTAGATTTTATTCAGTGTGACCAAAATTAAAGAAAATGGGAATGCTAGGAAGTAGACTTCATGTGCAGAAAACTTTCTAATGCCTTGCAGCTTAAAAGCTTATGTGCAAGTCACAGGCTTTTCCAGCGCACCTTTATGCTACACAACTTGTGTTCACTGACTGTGAAAAACAATGTTCTTATAGAACTGAGCCTTCTTGCAGTAACTGAAAGCTTTATCATCTAGAATTTGAGTGTTTATAGCTACAAACTTGGAATTCTTGGAATTCCAAGGGGTGTGTCCTTGAAGCAAAATTTTGTGACTAACACTTGGATCAACTCGTCCAAATAAACAGCTATGCTGCAAAAGATATTGCAAGCCTTAGGAAGAAACTCTTCTGTGTTGAAAATCAGTAATAAATTTCTGGCTAAGACAGTCTTATTTTGATTAAAGGGTTGAGATCTGTGATCTCACTTGTTTTCTTGGGACAGCAGGGCTTTCATGCGATATGAAAGGCAATGTACATTTGAAATGCAAAAACTTGAATGTACAACACATTTTCAAGTAAATTGATCTCAACTGCCTCAATTTTAAATTCTGCTAAACTATGGAACATTTCAAAACTGCTGAATGACAGTGGAAACAGTAACAGAATAACACAGATTAAATTTTGAAGTAGATTACACAGCATTTAGCAACTATGAAGCGCAGGGATGTTACACTTGGAATAAACTCAAAGTTCTGCGTGAAGGTGTTTACAATAGCTTTTTAGTACATGTTTTTCACCCTCCTTTAAATATAAGGTAATCAAATGTATTACCACATCCGTTTTGGAGACACAGCTTTGCAAGTTTTGAATGAAAGTCTGTTTAACATAAGTCTTCACCCTTCGCTGCTTGTAAAGACGCACTTTCTCCAACAAAATGCAAAATGCATCAGGATTCACAGGAAAGCGATAAACTTTAGCTTGCACTATTTTAAAAGGAGGATAACACCATCTTAATGCTCCTTCTTGAAGAAACAATTGTACAGAGACCGTAAGTTTCTAAAGCCACGATATTGTTTGAAAACTAAATAACTGTGTTTATATGTATATTTAGCACAAACTACATACAGAAACATGCAATGAAAAAATTTCTACAATTATTTATCTGTAACAACTTTAGCCTTCAAATAGAAACAAAAATTCTCTAAATTGCGACAACATACATTGTATCTGATAATAAAACACACGTGTTTAGGTATTTACTTTCCTCTGGCATTAATAAGAATTAAAATTATTTTTAAAATTATTGTAAAATTCTACTAACTGCAACAGTGAAAGATCTGAGCCTTCTCATAACATCAGCACAACGATTTTTAGCTGTTAAACGTAAGAAGCACTTACCCATTGGCTGAGTGGGTTTTCCTCTTTGCTGCGCAGTACTTACTTTTGGCACCTCAATCAATGAGCTGTACAAATGTGATCTATGGAAAGCAGAAAACTGCTGAGTAGATTATTTACAGTTCAGCTTGTTCACATGAAGCAAATTTATTAGATGAGCAATTATTACCCTCTAATTTAATGTGCTAACAAATTTGCTCACAATGCAGTATTTACCCCTACCTGGGGTGCAAAACCCTGCCAAATCTAACTGGAACAAACCGAGTCCTGTAAGGAAGGTTCTTTCATTGCTATATATCCAAAAAGGTAGATTTTAATTTGTTCTATGACAACTGCTTAAGGCTTTTCACAATTGGTGAAAGCCCTCACAATCGGGTGCCACAGCTCAGTTTATGAGTAGTCACTAACTAGGCTGCAGTAATGAGATTGTTTGTGGCTTTATAAAGCTAAATAAAACCCCTCCTGACATTTTTAAGAGCATAAGCAATAAGAGCTGGAAACTTAACAGAATTTAGAGAGATATCAAGAATGGCCTGAAGCCTTTCAAGTGATCTCTGGAGATTTAAGAGATAATTAGGGAAATCAGAAGTATAGAAAAACATACTGCTTTGAGCTGCAGATATATTTATTTAGATATTAATTTGTTCATTATCCTAAAATTTAAGTCCAGCAAAATTAGAAGCAAAAAGCAATAAAGAAACAACCAAAATAGTGATTATTTACAGGTGAAAAGACTGCATTTGTAACAAACAATGCTAAACAAAAATTATGAAATTTTATACCTGTCTTCTGAATGCTGAAGAATAATTATGTAGAAATTAGATGGCAATTTTTCCATTATATTAAAATGTTCGACAGGAATACAGAGATTTCTCCATGCCTGAACAATAATTCAAAAGCAGTATTATTTTCATAGGTTTTATAAACCCCAATCTCAGTTATTTCACCAGAAAAGTGGTGACAACCCTAGGAAAGAAGGTGCTAATATTTGAAATTATAAAAAATCCCAATGAAACAAAAAAATCCCAAAAAAACAAACCAAAAACCCCCACTCAGCAGATGTGCCAGGACAGGGGGCTCCGTCCAAACAAGAAACACTTTGTCACTGGCACAGGTTGTGGAGTCTCCATCCTTGGAGATACTCAGGAGCTGACAGGACAGGTACCTGTGTGCATATGTGTATACATTTATGTATACATACATATATGTTTCCCTGTACATATGCAACATAGATATAAACCCCTTAATAAGTAGCACATCTCAAAAAGTTACCACTGAGGTAGCAGTCAGTTGCTGTTCCACACGTTTTAGAAGATCACTCGTGTTTCTGTTTTGTTTTAAATGATTCTGAAGGTGCAATAATGCTGCCAGCTGAGAGCTGCTGGTGTTAGATGTAGCTGTTAGAAGGATATTCTTCATCGTCACAGATGCTGAACAGCTCTGTAAAATGATTGTATCTATTTATTTTCCCTCAAAACCAAATAAACATATATCATCTATGTTATAATGTATAAATATATGCTAAAGAAAAACCCTCTTGCTAGAAAGGTGAGATGGATTAACAAAAGCCTGCTAGGTTTTTTTTACAAGCTGATGTAAACAGTCTGGCAATAAGTTATGAAGATTTCTTTAAAATGAGTAGCTAGAATTTACTTCTTTGCCTACATTTATCATCTGTGTTCCTGCATTGAGTCATGTAAGGTCTACCTGGGAAGGTGAATGCCTGTATTCTGAACTTAGCCTTTCAAGTAAGTTGAGTCTTTTCTGTGCTTCTGCACTTTTTACTATATAGCTGTCATATCACACATTTTAACAGACTTCCTGCAAAAAGCAGTGTAAAGTCCTTATATCCTTTTCTTTCAGCGAACACAACAATCCTATCCTTGGAAACAAGGCTTGCTAACAGCCAAAGCTTTTTTTCTTAACTTTTAATGCAACTGCCACGTTAAAAAGCAATGCAATTCGGCTTGACCTAATCGAAACTTCCAAAGGGAGCTTAATATTGACCTTCAATGAGATTTTCAACTTTTTTTTTTTTTTCCCCAATACAAGCTTTGTGGGCAGGAGAGTAAGGAGGGTATCTGAATTAGCAGATTTTTTTTCCCAGTGAAAGAAATAAGTACTCACAATTCTGGTGCCTTGATATGCATTCCACTTACTTATGGTTTGCAGTCATACTTCTTAGCAAACAAGCTAAATAGACTGATACTACATGGGGTACTGCAGCAGTGGTGTTTTGTGGTAATGCCTACCTTAGCTAATCACATTAATTTATTTATATTAAAATCTTTTCATGTATGCAGTCATCAAGGAAAAAAATCAAGTCACACACAACAGGTAACAGAACTGTTAACAAGCCACTGATCAAACATTTGGAAGTCAGCAGGCATATCACTGATAGCCTGTATTACTCACTAGTATCCATACAGTGTGTTCTGTATGACCAATTTTATATGAATAGACAGTTTTATTTATGTAAGTTAAACAACCTTCTTTATACTGGAAAGGAACACAATACATTAGCTGCATTACCTGATGAAGTGCCAAAAACTGGCTAGTTGAAACTGGATCAAATTGCTGAAAGCATTCAACCATTTCAAAACTAGCAGTAGCCAATATATCAGTAATATCATGATTGAATGCAATACCCATACACTGTAGCAAAGCTTCACCGGACTGAGAAAGATATTTCTGAGCCAACCTATGTTCCTTCTAGATGATGAAAAGAAAAAGCTTTAATTAAAATACGTATTCATATTAAATATTTGTTATACATATACAGATTACCAGTGTGTTAGAAAAGTATCACATTTTCATAACTAATTCTAATGCTTTTTTCTCCTTTTTAAGGCATTTATTTAATATATGAACAAAATAGGCAAATATGGGTTAATTATTCAGCAGACACCAACACCTGTTATACAATATTAAAAATGTTTTCCTAAGGCATTTTCTTTAATATAAAACATGTATTTTGCAGAACAGTATTTTAAATCCAGGCAGTATGACCCATTCAGAATGAAGGGATTTTCTGTCAATTCTCAGTACAGTTGTTTCATTTAGAATTCATTTACATTACAGTGTAACATTTAACTGTTAATAGTTGAATGTATTTAATACAAATAAACTCACAAATCTCATACCTCATGCATTTATTGACGATACTAGCAACACAAACTGAACATTCCCAATTCCTAGTGTGACTTGAACTGCAGTAATTAACAGGTATCAGTTCACCATACAATGTAACTTACATTACAGAAGTAATTTACAAATGTTTAGTTGAGAGAAGTTACTTCTGTGTTTGTTCCCAGTCTGCAAGATGTTATGCTCCCTTAAAAAGGCATGTCTGTGAAGCAGAAAGCAAGCTGACTGTTCATCTTGTCCTGGCTGCTACATGCTTAATCACTGGGAAACTCCTGAAGGAGAAATTATTTCTTTCTGGGAGCAACTGGGAAAGCTCAATCAGGAGCCACCACAGCATATACTGAGGGGCAGCATGGAGATACACAGCAAAGTTGTGATAGAAAGGTGGGGTTTTGGGGGGCTCTTTTGGAGGCTTTTTTTCTTTTGTAGATCAAATGTATATTACAAACATTTCCATTATCAGTTCAAACAGAACTGACAAATTAAGTGATTAAACCGATAGATCATTATTCCATAGAAGAGGAAACATTCAATGGTAATGCAAGCACATTCACTAATATACCTTTAACTTCGGCATTTTCTTCCTATACTTGTCATACTGACATTCATTAGTTGCTAAAGCGCTGTCAGTCACTTCCTGTTCACTGCACTCTGCTGAAGTCAGGGAAGTTTTTGCCATGTCTGATTTAGCTTCTTCCTACTCATCACAGTATCAGAAAAGAATAATTAATCATTCCATTAAGTATGGCTAGCTTCATTTCTGTTGTGAAAGTCTAGGTGAAAATGGAACCCATCTTAAAAGAAATAATCTCACTATATGATCCCTTGATGGTGAGAGATTTAGCAATATTATCAGGCATCAAAAATGTTTAATATGTTCTGATGACAATATGACCAACAGAAACTAAAAAAGCCCTCCATGCAGCCTCTAAGATTTTTATTTTCTGATATTTGCCCTCAGTTTCTTCTGAACACTTTATCACTGAACTTATAATGACTGAGCTTCCCTTTTCTTACACGGCGTTTTCACTACAGCAGAAAAGGAACTTAGAAATCTGAGCTTTTAACCAACCACAGCCCTTTAAGACACTCAAGGACTCCCTTCCTCTTTTTTTTGAAAATACTGTAATTAGCACATTTCAGGAACAAATCAAAAAATCGACTACAAGATGATGTCAGGGTGGCAGAGGCACCATTTAAATGGTTCAGTATACATTTTTATTATGGCTTGCATGCAGTATGTAAAATCTAGCTCTAAATAAAGAGTTGTGTTATGCAAATGCATACAAAAAAATATTGCGGCAGACAAACTTTACACATAGAAATGAATTTGAATGCATACCATAACATTCGGCTTCCAGTAAATCTCTGACTGCACAGGATCTATACTAATGGCAAGTAAACGAAGAGTTTTTCCAATGAGATAAAGGCATTTGGATTTGATGTCAGGACAGCCTTTACAAAGATTCTGCACGTTTGCTAGCTGAGCCAGTGCAATATGACCCACAGCGCCTTCCATACGCTTCCAGTCCTGGTAAAATACCCATTTGTGTTTATTTGCCCATATATACCCACACATACAGAAACATACTTCTTAAAAACAGGTAACCCATATACTTACATACATACACATTTGTTAACTGTGATCACACTTTTAACTATAAACGAGTTGTCTTTAACAGAACAATTGATAAAAAAAAGGCCACTGTAACATCGACAACCAGTACTGAGGAAAACATGGGATAAGAGGAGTGTATTGCAGAGAACACTGGGGATACTGAGCTTTCCTGTAACAGCATTCCTACTGACATTGTCAGAGACAAAGTAATGGTCAAGAATTACTGCTCTGTTCCAAGCGGATGGCTGATGTTTTTATTCTTTTTTTTTTTTTGCTGCAAAACTGCATGAAAAATCTGGGGACCCATTTCCTCAGTAGTGGAAGAAGTTCTGTTATGGAAAAAATCACTGGGAAACTTTTTAATACCTTTCACATGCAAATCATAGGACTAAATATTTTTTATTACCTGTTCTATTGGATCATCTTCACTAGTTGCCCTGATGAACGCCTCCACTATTTCATGGGGTGATGCTTCTTCCACTTTTTTAAGCCTTTTCTTAGTAATAACAAGATGAAAAATATCCAAAAGAATCTCTACAAGATTTATTTTCCTGTTCGCTAGTTGCCTCATTAATGGGATACTAATATTGGTAGTCTGAAATACAAAAGAAAGGAAAGTAGAATTCTAACTTTAAATATTTTTGCAGCTTTACCTGATAAGAAGTTAGAATGTTGCATTTAACTAAAGAAGCAAACATATCAACAATATCACTTCAACAGATCAGAGATATTGCTATTGTCGTGGTTTAAACCCAGTCAGGTAACTTGTTCACTCACTTCCCCCCTTCTTTCCCTCCCCCCTACTCCCAGAGGGACAGCTATGAAGATCTTTAAGTAATTTAAAAGACAAAGTTCAATGTCAAATATATTTTAAAGCAATCAAAGTAGCTGCACAGAAAAAGAGCAGCTGTGCTTTTGCTTTTCACGTTTTATGAAACTGGTACAAATAACTAATTCCAAAGGAATTACAAATGTGTGCATAAACCCAGAATGTTAATATTCATGGTTTTGGCACCTGCACAAACATACTTGAGCCTTAAAAAAGGAGCAGAAAAATAAAGCTGGATGCTAGAGTATAATACCGGCACACGCTAGCAAAGTGGGCTGCAGGCTTTCATTACCCAAAATACACTATTTTGAAGACAGGATTTCTTAATTTACATAATGTTCTGTGTAATCTTCTTTTCCTTCCCAGAAATGAACACCTTATTGTGGAGAATTTTAAGACTGAAGATATTCAGCAAATTAAAAATATTTCCAAGTCCAGATTTTTTCTTTTGTAACTATTGGATAAATTCTAGAATGAAATAAAATTGACAAAGACCAAACAAATCCTCTCATTTCTGCTTTGTAATGTTTCCTATAGTCATTACAGATAGGTAATTTAATTTGGGGCTTCCAGGAATTATCCCAAAATGAGTGAATGCACAACTCAATACAATCGGTTTTCTATGAGCAGGGAAAAAAAAAGCCTACCTCATGAATTGCAAATAAGCTCCAAACATTCTGAAACACTTCCTCAGTTCTGGATACTGCCCTCTGAGCTAGGTTGTAAGCATCTAGATAGTGACTATGTATTTTTAGTTCGTTTCTTTCCTCCTTGGCAATCATCCTGAAAAAAAACCCCAAACAAAACCCCAAAAGAACTAAAGTAAGCAGGTGTTAATTCTTATGGTATCAACACTACTGAACGTATATACTAAAATAGTAAGATTAATAAGATTAAATAGATTACTATATAAACCAGATTCATTTTGTACATGCGTCTTCTAAATGTTGAAATAGGAAAAGTGAACAATCACGCACTATTTTCTCAAGGTCTTATTCTTGGAACACTACTGCTGCAATGCAAGAAGATGCCAAGACACAAGGAGAAGAAAGGCAGATAATGTTGCAGACAACATGTTCACCAGGAAAAAACAGCAGAATAGCAAAATACAAAACAACTCAGTCATTTTAAGGGGACATCATGGAATCAGCTGAGAGTCAAGGCACACCATGGTTTGGACTTTTGCCATTACAGCAATTTCCAGAAGAAAATTTCAACAGTAAGAATTGTAAAAGCCAATAAATACTTGAGAATGATTAGTATAGCTGCCAAAATGCCTTTATGAATGGGAAGACGAAAGGCTGACTTGGAGACTTCGATACTTTGGTTTGACTTCAAAAACACTATAAAATCATTAGCACCAGGTAAGATGAACTCTGCCTTCAGTGAAAAGAATTTTTCATTCTATTTTTCTGAATACAAAATACATCAGGAATGCAACTAGGGATGTAACACCAAGATATAAAACCTGACAATATTGTCTGCTCTTCTCTGTCTTTAATTAGACTACAAAAAGTAAAGAATACAGTTCGTGGACTAGTTAAAAAAAGTTTTTCAGCAGAAATAGAATCTTACCTGTGAATATTTGCACACTGTAGCAGTATCTCAGCACTGCAAACTTTATGCCCATAATGACTAAAGTCCTTTGCAATTTGAACTAATTTCCTGTAAGATTCCTGTAGCGTATGTGGCAGCTGACAAGACTTATCATTAATTGTCATACTATCTTGGGCACAATGTATCTCAATAAGTGTTTTCCTAGGAATAAAAATCAAATACATGACAGCAGTCAAAAAGCACAGGCTGTGTTTGAAAACAGACATATTTCTCTCTCTGCTCTCCTTTAAATTACAAGAAATCTAGAAAAAGCCTCTTCAGTCTTTAACTCTGTGGTCTACAAGTCACAGTAGGTCCTTAAAAAAATCAAAATACTGTATTTTCAGATTCAAATGTACGTACCACCTGTTCCATGTATCTAATTATTCGATCTGCCTAGGCCTAGCCAATCTTCTAACTGTAGTTAAACTAAGGAGACTGTTAGTCCTCCCTTTCTAATCCAAAAGTTTCTGGAAACTTTTCTGGACAGAGGACAAAGTGTAAATGCTACATAATTCTCTTCTCCTACAAACATATTTTAAGTTCTTTGTGCTTGGATTTCAATGTAACCAAAAGACTTCTTGGATCACAGTGAGGAGACAAGTAAGTGAATACCACAGACTACAGTAGTGTGGGAATACCTGTGCTCAAACAGATACCTCTGCATAGGCAAATGTATCTTGCTCCTTTGGGTAACCTACATCACAAACTACGTACAGTAGGTTGCGGTATCTGAACTAGCTTATCATTTTAACAAGTAGTAGGGCTACAAGAATGAAGGAATTTAAAGGAAATTTAAATTAAGAAATCTAAAAAAAATATAAATTACTTAGAAGAAAAATATTTGAGAATCCACAGACTGCACCACACTAAAACAAAGATGAATGGTAAAAATCACCATATACATACAATGTAGCTGCAAAGTAGAAGCTGCATATTTTAATGAAAAGACAGTTACCTGGCTTCAAGGGAAGTAATTATAAAACCCAACTCTGATTGTCTGTTAGGTCTCTTCAGTAAAGTAGATCTGAGTACATTTACAGTGTGTTCCAGTATCTCACAAGCCTGCAGGTAACATCAGAAATCTCATCTACTTTAAATGTCTGTATATAATATCAAACATTCATTTTAAAAGCTTAAACTTTGTGCAGAACATGTTGAGTATCCTTCCCCAGTATTCCCCGAGATGACTGATTCTTGACAAGTGTGTAAAAGTTTAGAAAATATGAGCTATGATCACACTGAGATTTTTTGATGATTAAGTGACTGAAGCACATAAACACAAAGACAGAAGATGAAGCCAGACTCATCTTAGACATACATACCAAAAGAATGAAGGATAACAGACCCAACTTGAAAAAGGGGAATTCTACCACCCTCACGGTAATTTTTTTTAGGAACTATCAAGGGCCCAGGAAGGCTGTGGAATCTCCATTCTTGGAAACGTGAAAAATGGCAATGTAGAGCCCAGAGCAACTTGATTTGGCAGTTAAGGTCAGATTTCACTTCTAAATGCCTCTCCTTTGCTGGGGTTAGACCAGATGAACTCCAACCTAAATAGTCAATTAATTCTGTATTTCACATGCATCTTCTTAGGAACAGATTCCTGCATCCTTACCTACATATTAATCCACCAGTAAGCATTACACTACTAGAGTTTTGCCAACTGGGGATGTAAAAGAAGTCATAAACTAATAGTTTTGAATGAAAAAGTCCTTAGATGATGCTCCAAACCTCATCTACAGATTTGTCTTTATTTAAAAATTCTGCTGCTGCAGTTATGTTGATCAAATTATATAGAGGAATAAAAAAATCCACCTCACACATTTCATTAATAGGTTTACTGGCAAAAACTTAGTAACTACTCTCACTGGTAATCAGATACTTTTTCCTTAAACAACTGTAAATGTGAACTGAGCTCAAACCAAAATCATCCCTCTAGACAAAACAGACTTGCACTGATTACCAGTAAAGGACAGATCATCACAGATACAAGAAGATTACATTTACACTGAAACTCATGAAAGTTAAAGGTTAAACAGTAAATGATTTTCAATAAATATATGTATTATACTTACAGCAGTATCTGTCAATCTAGAAATAATATTTGAAACACTGAAATATTTGAAAAGGAAAGACATACTAGGAAATAACAGTGAAAATTATATTCTGTATTCAATATGGAAAAAGCATTCATCCATATTAACAGAATTGTCTGAGTACAAAAGCATTCTAACCAAGAGAATCAGATTTCTGGGATTTAGTTACACATACTAGATTACAATTGCTCTTTCAATAGAAGGACATAGAGTTTATAATAAAAACACCCTGAACTTCTGAGGGTAAATACTCATTCCTACTGGCCTTCAATTAATGTTTGTTGAATGCACAACAGAGAAAACATTAACTGCATTTAACACGTATTTTTAATTCTATTGAAATGCAATGGCGACAGCATTTCTCTTTACTGACAGGCACCAGTGCTGAAAAAACCCACCACAACCAAAAAACTTCCTTACCATGCTTTGTTTTCCTTCCCTATCTTCTTCTAGAATTGCTTCTATTAGACTAAGAGTACTGTTGTACCAAAACCGTTCATCTCCTCCTAGAAGCTGTGCTTTTTCCAGGAGTGCTTTAGCTTGTCCGTGGTTTCTTTCCAGGTTAGCCAATACAGCAAGTAAGTACAAGCACCTTGACACATCATATAGGGCCCCCAATTCCTAGGAAGAAAGACACATGACTTATATACAAACGATCCACTACAGCTATTCATATTTACTTCTATCATATTTTAGAGTAAACTTATGAAGAGGCACAGAAGTAAGAAGAAAATTGTATTTCCTCAATTACCTGTAGCATTTTCTTGTTACGCCTTATATTGCTTTTTTTTAAAATAAAAACCTTCTACTTATTATCAAAAATTTAAAAACCTTCAAACAGACTTTATATTTCTTTATATTTCTTCTATCCCACAAGCAAAGGGAGCTATTTTTCTGCTATTATTTAGTATGTATATATCTACTGTAATTTGTCAGTGTCTGATGAAGAAATGTAATGATGAAAATTTTTTTACTGAACTAGGATCTAGATACACAGAGCTCCAGCAAATTTACAGTGCTACCTTATGCTTGTTATAAACTATATACTAGTAGCATGCAAGAGACAAATGCAGTGTACAGTACAGATTGTATACTAGCATACAGACACACAAAATACTAGTAAGAAATTGTGTAATTAAAATTATTGTTCTCCCTAATGAACTTTCCTCAATGTACAATACTAAATTAATGCTTTAAGAAGAGACACGATATTACTAATGACTATATTATTAATTACTATTATTCAGAGCATTCATGATTCACACTAAATAATCATAGATAGTTTTTATTTACATGAGAATAATTATTGTGGAATAAAAGGATAACAATATTTTTTTTTAGAAGTACAGGAATTGCAATAGTTATGTTTCAGCAACCCATATAACCAAGAAAAGAGCTATAACGGAGGACAGTGGATATAGAAAGAATATCTTTAATGTACACCCTTCATAACAATGAGGTGATGTGGATTTGTTTGATGGAACACAGGGACACTTACATAGATCTGCCAGAATTCTGAGTCATAGTTTCAGTGTCAGTGGCTGTTTATCAAAACACAGCAGTAAAAGAGTAATGAAATTTAAAATTATATAACTAGACTGTGAAATGATCAAAATGTTGAGAGGATGGAGCTAAATGCTCTGTCATGAGCAAATCTTGAATGTCCCTAAACTATTTTTAAAAACAAGGTTTGGATACTCATACATCTACCAAGCTCAGTGCAAAGCAGAGGTGCTGACACTACTTCACAAGTTGAAATAATCTTCAGACAATTCCCATAAAGTTGGCCTTAAGTGCCATGTGTTTAAATGTATGCATTAGATACGTTGAAACCCAAATGACAGAGGGTTGGGGTTGAGGGATGAGTAAGGTTTGATAATTGCAATTTGATTATTATGAGGAACAACTGCATCAAAATTAATTTTTTTTCCTACATGTTTTAATAATGTTTCTTTTTCTATTTTATTTCTGATATACCTGTGTTGCAGCATGGGCCTCTGATAGCAGAAGTCTTGCTGGTTGATACAAGCCTAGCTGGATTAATACTTCAGCTTTTTCTATCCACAAATAAGGGAAAGAAAGTGCACTCAGTCCTTTCCCTGTTGCTTCATTTAACTCAAAAACCTGAAAAAAAAGCATTACACCTTCATAAATTTCAAACTAAACTATATGAATTACAAATTGTTATTACCTATCCTATCAACTCTTGATATACCCCACAGTCCAGTTCTATTTTCTAACTTTGAAATTCAACTTTGTATTACAGGAAAACCAGGTTTACTTTGAGATTTATATTTATTAGTTGAATGCCTTTTGAGGACTATAAATATATACTATTAAAACTAATTTTAGAACACACGAACTGCTTCAGATCTGCTACTGTCACGAAGAAGATGATTCTTGGTAATAACTGAACCAAAAAACATTTGCAAGAGCTAAAAAAGGTGACATGAGAGGGATTAGAAATTAGAAAATGATTCTTTACATACACAAGAATAGAAAAAATATACAAAGACAGCAAAATGATATGATAAAAGCAAGGAAAGAATTGCCACAATAAAGAGGAAAGTGGAGATAAGTTTGAGAAATATCAGTAAGGCAGTTATCTTCCTAAAGAGACAAAAAAGACAGAGCTGAAATATTTGCATGCCTTTAAAAAAATGTGTCTGAGGGAGCAAAACAGTATGCAGTGATATAATGGAGAGAGGAAGAAGGCAAAACTGAGACCAGTGGTGAATACAATGCTTTTTCACTTCTCAGTCTTTTCCACTGACTTGAACTAGTCCCAGATTCCATTTGTAGAAATGTAGTTGTATTTTATATTAATACAGATTCTATTCTTGTTCCACAATACAAAAACTATGCCAGGCAAACTCCGCTCACATTCAGCTGGTGCCTGCCAATCTAACTAGTATGCAGTTAAACTTTTTGTGCTTGTGTATTTCTCAAGTATAAAATTACATAGAAACAAATTAGCAAGTATATGAAAATAAGGAGTGAAGCATAATTTACTAAAGTAACTGGAGTAGAAAGAAAAACCTTTTCACTTGAAGTAAGGGTATTCTCATCCCTGGTACCATTCTGCTGAGTATTTTCAAAAAATGTTTCTTTGTCTTCTGTCATAGTATGTAATTTTTTTTCTTTTTTCAGTGCAATTTCTTGCCTACACCTAAAGCACAAGGAAAAAAAAAAGTAAATTCAAATATATATCGAAAGTATTTCATGATGAAGTATTAGTGTGTTAGTCATCTTCACCAAACACTCACTCTGCAGATAAATACAAACCAATATTGCACAGAATTTTAGGGCCCAGCTAATGCACCACATTTGTGTTAAGCATCATGGGGTTTAATTCCCCCCCCCCCCCCCAACACCACTTATCAAGCGTAGGAAAAAAATCCCAGCTAAATACAGCCTCTGTAGTGAAAATACATACATTGCCTGTTCTAATTCACTAATGTAGGCTTCTCCAGCTGCTTTCTCATGATGCAAAGATGCCTGATTCAGTTTTAGGTCTGAACAGATCAGGGCAATTCTGAGAATAAAAAAAAAGAAATTTTTAAGAAACAATCAGAATCTTTCCTACATTGCTTCATCCAAGCACATTCTATGTGAAGAGCACACATTCCACGTTTGTCAGTCCTACCTTCTTACGTCTTGGTTAATACTGTCAGTAACAAAAATTTTAAACAAAAAAGGTGGAACTGTGGTAGCTGAAATTACACACTGACAGAGGTCATAAAATCACAGAATGGTTTGGGTTGGAAGGGACCTTAAATATCATCTTATACAATCCCTCTGCCATGGGCAGGAACATCTTTCATCAGAAAAGGTTGTTCAAAGCCCCATCCAACTGACCTAGAATACACACTTCCAGGGATGTGGCATCCACCGGTATCCCTAGCCCATTCATCAAACGCGTATCTCTCCAATTCAGCAGCAAAAATGATGTAGTAAAAGTACAAAAATAATTAAAATACAGTCTCACTACAGCATGCAAAAAAATCCCATACATGTGTTTGTGTTAATCTGCTTTTGTATATTGAGTAAAGAGGAACATGTTTGTGTATACATATCTGATCAAAAATAAGGTGATAGATATAAATAAAATACCATGAAATAAAATGAAATCTTGAGGAGTCAACAAAAAAAACTGGCTGGCAAAGCTTGGCTGCAAATCCATTTCCTATTAGTAAATCACTTTTAGTCTTGTTGGGTAGTAATTCAGTAACTGATTTGCAATTAAGATAAACATGCTGACCTTTGCATATAGGAATATTTATCTATTCCATGTGACCTCTTTCAGGCATTTTATAAGTACATTATTTCACAATTATTGGGAATTAAGCAAACAATTATTGCTTATAACTGTTACTTATTAAGCAAACATTATGCAATACATTTCAAAAAAGCATGACAAAACATTTTAACTAAACCAGCAATAATTTGCCATTGCATGCATATAAAATATCTGTGACTCAAATCTTTTAGGGCTAATCTTTCATAAAATTAACAGAATTTTGGTCACAAAGGCAAATGCCTATAATAGAGAATGAGCTTATTGGGGATACTTATGGGGGTTCATAAGCTAAATGATGTAACTTTGATGCAAGATGGGAGTCTTAGTTTCATTGAAACATTTTTGGACTTTGCCCTGTTCAGTTCCATAACAATAAGGCATTTCAAAAATTATTCACATGAAAGTGGTTTGAGTTCATAATCTTGTTCACCTTTCTTTGTGGAGATCATGCTTAGTAACAGATAAACTTAGTGGCTTTAATACCACAAGCAAACCAATTCATCAAAATTCTATTAAAATGTATAAAAAAGAAATTAAAATAAATAAAACCCATTAAAAATATAAACAATAAGTCATCAAAAACCTGTTTACTATTTACTGAAATATTAATGAATTGTTCTTTCCGTTGAGTTTCTCTTTTATTGAAAATAAATAAAGGATACAAACCGAAGGTGATAGAGATCAGACAGACTTCGACATTCCACAACTTCATTAGCAATAACTTCAGCTAGCTGCAAGATGGGAAGAATGAAGTGGGGGCAAAAAATTTTCTGTAGTTCTTTAGATAAAAGGTCCATAAAATACAAAGTGCAAGTCTGGAAAAAAAATTGTTTAATTCAATCAGTATAAACCTTATTTTGTATGGAATAAATTTAAATTTAAATTGATGATTCAGTTCCAAATTTTAATTAAAAAAAAATTAAATAATTAAACAAACTCTCAAGCTGAAAAATCAGTCAGGTACATAGGAGCCAGTACAGGCATTCTGTTAACGATTTTTTAATGTTAATTTCAGCATGCAGAGGGCAGACTAACACTTTCTGACGTATTAATGAATACTATGACAAGGAAGGATTTCTGACTGCAGTCTGAACATAATCTGTCTCACAAACAGAAAACCTAAACCACAACGTAGTTCCCTGCTACTTGCTTTTTCCTAAATAACACTCTAGGATTTTGAGGAGTATACTTACAGGTTTGGGGAAATTATGCCAGTTAATACCGTAACAATTTGTTTTCTGTTTAAAAATATCTCTAATTTCATTGGGACAGTCATAATAAGCCCATTCTTCTACGTTTGCTGGTAAGGTATGAACTGACCCCTTCCCTTTAGGCTTCTCTTTTCCAGAAATTTCAACCTATAATAAAAAATAAGGCCAAATTATCATTCGTTGGTATAAAATATTCAAATATCATAAAAAAAAACCCTAAACCAACATTATCTACTCAATATCCTTTAAAGTTTGAGTGACTAGACCTCTAGATGTAAAACTGTAATTTTTACAAAACAGTACTATTTTGATCAATGCAGCAAACAAAAGAAAAGCATCTGTAAATTTATGGCCTCTCAAGTCCATGCGATCAAGAGTGAAGGTATGATATAGAGACTCCAAGAGAAATTCTCAGGTTATGACAGCATTTACAAGAAAGGAACGGAAGTATTTGTTAAAACAAATGAGCCCAGGGAAACATCTCTTAGAAAGAGATGATTGTTTTAATTCCACAGGAAAGGGTTCTTACATGTTTCTTGTTGTCCTTCTCTTTTTTAGGAGCAATTACAGACTGCACCTTCTGAGGAGCTGTAAGTGGGGAAGACTTTGATAATACTTTTGTAATAGGACCTGATGCTGACAACGATACCTAGATAAACAAATAATTACAGTTAATTACTTTCAATTTTCAGTAATAATGTCAATTTCTAATAATAATGATTATTCACTGTAACTCACCATCTACAGCTATTAACAACTGCCAGGTACCACATTGTTATTTCTGTAAGAGCTTTCTTCAGAAAACTAATACTTGAGAGACCCCTAGATGCTTGTGTTATTTGTACAACCATTTAGAATGATCATGACAATACAATTAACCAGCTGAATGTAAAAAAATGACATCACTTTTGTACTAAAATACTACTCCGATTTTTTAAACCTATGTGGTTGCAAATTGAATTCTTTTTTTTAAAACTGCTACTTTAGATGGCTTCATCTTCTGCAAGGGATGCATTTCATATCATAGTAATCTGGAAGACTGCAGAGAGCCACTCTGTTCTGCTTCTGGATTAGTCTATAATGCTACTAATGAATGTTATATTAAAAAAAAAAATCTAAATATTTAAGCATATGAAAGCATCCATTGAAAATTTCTCTACACACTTAATAGCATGAATTCTGCTCTTACCTAAAATTTAAAAAGCACATTAATTTGGGAAGATGAATATATTCTCCTGGAGGGATCAGGAGTAGCAAATATAATATGAACAAAAAATAATGCTGGATGCTGCACAAGTTGTGAAATTTTCAAGTTAAAGGTATTTTTAAAGTAAGAGCCAGCTAATTTGACTGCAGTTATTGAGATTTTCAGAGAACATTTAAATATCTTCTGAGTTATTAATGAAGTCCTAACTCTAAAAGCCTGCTTCAGAAATGGACATCTGCAGTCAAGTCTGCTTTACTATTGACTCCCAAACAAGGTTAAGCTGTTCTGTAGTGCTTTTGTTCCTTTAGTACCATAGCTGTTCTTTTTCTCACAGTACTGTTCAGCTGTATACATGAGTTCTTATGATTATTGTCATTGTCCTAAAACTGGCACTGACAGCTGCATTAACTCTTTTTAATAGTCTATCCAAACAGTAATACTTCTTTCAGATACTTTTTTCTCTAGTAAGACACTCAGTCAAGGTCATGGTATTAAAAATTATATTTATATAATTCTGAAAACACCAACATTCATTTTTTTCAATTCCTGTCTTCCATCAAATGTTAAGAGTCTGAACTGATTTCACAATGAATACTTGACCATATATATATATATACATGAAACTTGTTACAGGAGTAAAAATTGCAGGCTTTTACATCTAGCTGGAATGAAGCTACATAGATATATCCTATTTACAACGCTAAGATTGTCTCTGTAAGATTTGAGTCATTACTATTACCAAGTGTATATTTAGTCCCTTCAAAGATTTACTCATATTTAATGTATAATTGTTTTCCTATGATTTTTGCTATGATTTCCAATAGCCTTTTAAATTAGACATACGTATCAGTAAGAAATGAAATAGATCGGTTTGACCTGAAATGCTGTAACAATGCAAAAAGGAATTGAGTATAACGACTGGTAAACACTGCTTGTCTATACTTCTCAAAACCTGAGAAACAAATTTGAATTTAACTATGTCACACTATTCCTTTCAGTCAAAATGACAGCCCCCTTGATTCAGGCTGTTGAAGGTCTGTCTGTAATCTAATTACAGATTCCTCAGAACTGTTAGCAATGTCTTCAGCATGTATTGTGCCACTACCAAGATCCTTTAACAAACTGAAATTACTAAATTTGCAAGCCTTTTGCATGAAATGCATGAACATACTGCAGAGAAACAGTGGGCCACTGCTTTTATCCTTCATGGCTCTTCTCCGTTTTCCCAAGAGAAACAATCTTTTTTAATCCTTAACCTGAGAAAACATGCTAGCTATATCACAAAGTAGGAAATCCTAAAGATTAGTTAAAACATCATGCGAATAGCTGGCACCACGATTACACAAGATAACTTGAAATATACTGGCCACAATTTAATATAATTAATATAAGCTCATAACAATCTCACCTGCCAGATACGGATGATACAAGCATATGCCATCAAACAGTGCTGCTGATGAAAAGGAGAACTATGACCAGAAATTAAAGCTATTAATGTCTGTGCTCTAAACAAAGCTTCCAATTCTTTAATATCACTCAGATCTTCCAAATTAATTTGGGGCATGGTATCATTTGCTCCAATGTCTGTCTTCAAATTTTCTGCAGGAGAAAATTTTGGTATATTATCTTTTTCTGTTAAAAAATATATAACATGCTCACAGTGACAGTACTTACAAAATATTTTCAAAAGTTAAAATTTCTGAATTTAAAATGAAAATATTTATGAAAAGAATTAAAATGGAAATCCATCTACTGAAGATGTTTTTCTTATAGTGATGCAATGCTACTCATACCATGTTTACAATGAATAATATAACAGCTATGTATATTAAATGGTGTAAGCCTGACAGAGAAATTAATTCCAACGCAAGCACACTTTATCTTCTTGAAAATAAATCCGTGTGAAAGACAATGTAACTTACTTATTTCAGCCACTTGAGAAGCATTGCAGTTAAGTCAAAATCCCCTTGATCTTGATGTAGTGTTTTCTACCTGACCAAAGACGAGATCCTAATTCCTGGTAGCCTAGCCAGCAACAAGCATATTTGGCCAGCATTCACTTCCAAAACAGGAAGGAGCAATAATCTAACTACAGATGGGTCAGTGTCAACTAAGTCTAGAACAGAGCTCAAGCTCATCCTTAAGTCTGTAACAAGGTATCTTAATGGTTTTTGATGGCAACAACAGAAGATACTCTGCTACTCAATCCTCTCCTTTATGCTGTGTAATTCTAGTTACTTTTCAGTAAACTCTGATGCTTTATGGAAATTCCAACTCTGCTTGAAATTCAGTTCAAAGCCAAGTAATTAGCAGATTTTCAGCTTGAAGTTAAGTACTATAAACACATGGTTCTCTTTCAACATCAAATTGATGCTCTACAACATAAAGCAGACTGCAGTAAGGGTAACACCTGTTACTGTTACATAATCCAGTAACTGTCACAAATGAAGTCACTAAAGTAGCAAAGAAATTGAGTGAATTCTGAGCATGATTAACACTCTATAATAAAGTTAACACACAGTAAAGTTAGGGAAAGGGACAGTTCAGCAGATTAATTTTATTCTTTCATAATAAAAGATACAGATGGCAAGATGCTGGTGGTCTGCAAGATGGGTAGGAAATTTGCTAACACGCTGTACTCAGATGGCCAGGATCAATGGTATTTGCTCAGGTTGGCAGCCTCCTGGGATCCCACAGGGACTGGTACCTGTGCTGTTCAACACAGAATCATAGATCATAGAATCATAGAATAGGAAGGGCTGGAAAGGACCTTAAGATCATCCAGTTCCAACCTCCCTGCCATGGGCAGGGACACCTCACACTAGACCATGTCACCCAAGGCCCTGTCCAACCTGGCCTTAAACACAGCTAGGGATGGAGCATTTATCACTTCTCTGGGCACCCTGTGCCAGTGCCTCACCACCCTCACAGTAAAGAACTTCTTCCTTGTATCTAACCTGAACTTCCCCTGCTTAAGTTTAAACCCGTTACCCGTTGTCCTATCTCTACAGTTCCTGATGAATAGTCCCTCCCCAGCATCCCTGTAGGCCCCCTTCAGATACTGGAAGGCTGCTACAAGGTCTCCACAAAGCTTCTCTTCTCCAGGCTGAACAGCCCCAACTTCCTCAGCCTGTCTTCATACAGGAGGTGCTCCAGACCCTGATCATCCTCGTGGCCTTCTCTGGACTTGTTCCAACAGTTCCACGTTCTTCTTATGTTGACGACACCAGAACTGCACCCAGTGCTGCAAGTGGGTTCTCGTCAGAGCAGAGTAGAGGGGCAGGATCACCTCCTTTGACCTGCTGGTCATGCTCCTTTTGATGCAGCCCAGGATATGGTTGGCTTTCTCGGCTGTGAGCACACACTGAAGCCAGCTCATGTTCATTTTCTCATCAACCAACACCCCCAAGTCCTTCTCCACAGGCCTGCTCTGAATCACTTCTCTGCCCAACAGTTGTCCAGTACTTAAAGGGCAGCTACAAAAAGGATAGAGGTTCTCTATTCACAAGAAGCCACACAGAGGAGACAAGGAGCAATGGGTACAAGTTGTACCCAAAGAGGTTTCATCATGATCTAAGAAATAAATTTTTACAGTAAGAACAATCTGTCACTGGCACAAGCTCTCTCCAGGGACATAGTGGAGTCCCCCTCACTGGGGGTTTTCAAGACACAGCTAGACAGGGTGCTAGAGATCTCATCTAGGTTCCCTCTTCCATGCAAGATCGGACCTTCTGAGGTTATTTCCAACCTGAACTGTCCTATATTTGAATCTGATTTTTCTTATTCTACTGTTTCAGTTTCCATTAAAAGTTTTGTAAAAAATTTCTCAAAATGTATGCAGTGTAAGAAGTCCAGCAATCATAACCAACCACATAAAGCTGGGTGGGGAGATCATTAAAGAATAAGTACAAACTTTAAAACACCACAGGACTGTAGAAAACCCAAACAAAACCACTAACAGAAATGCATGAACAGAATATTGATACTGGGACTTTGACCAAATGTGTGATACTAAAGACACTGAACATTCACAGATATATTTAAGCTAGCCTTGAACAAATGACAGTGAATATCAGAGAAAATACAGCCATTACAGTCCTTTGTGGTATCTAAGCTGTAAGTTAAAAACATCTCTTGCGTTTGTTGCTGAGGAATTCCTCTGAAAGATACACACTTCTTACATACCTTCTTCTTGTGAGGATTGCATAGGAAATTTCATACGTAACAAAAGATCTACAACCCAGTCAAGAGGTTTAATAACATCATCATGGGGAAACTGGTTATGGTACAACCATTCAGCAAACTCCATCAGATAATCAACTTTCTGCCATTCATTTTCTTGTTTCTATAAAAGTAATGAAGGAAGAGTTTATTTGTACTTTGTGATGTAAACAATCAAAATTCAACACTGTCCTAACAGAAGCAAAAAATTTGACAGTGAACTGTTTTATTGGCATCACATAATCAGAGTTACGCTAAACAGAATGTAAGAGAAAACTCTACCAGATATTCCTTTTTTTAAATTAAAACTTCTTGCAATTGGCTACTCTTAGCCATTTCAATTTGGCAGGACTCAACTGAACTTTTACTGGATACCAAGATTCAACCATACACAGTTCTCCAACTGAAGAGCAATTTCAAAGTTATAAAAGTAATGGTCAAGTATACGGCCTTCCTACCAGTTCCATTATAGACTTCACAGAACCTGCAATGCCATGAATCACTTGAGAAACATTGTTCTACCAGCATTTGAACATATGAACAATAAACTGACAAACCTGTAAAACAGTGACTCCATTTTGAAAACAGCTTAACTGTCCAACAGCACTTCTAGAGGCTGTTGCCAAGTGACGCCACATATGTGACAAGTAATCTTCACTTTCATCTCTGAATTTCTGAATATCCATCATAAAATTGCATCCCAATCGTGCCTTCACTGTAACCATGTGTTTCAAAAGCAGGCTAGAAAAAGACAAAACAAATTGCAAGTTACTTGTATCTGTACATGTAAAGTAACTTCGTGTGCAGCATAAATATACTAGTTTGCATGTCCTGGGTTCAGCTGAAACAGTTATTTTTCTCCTTCTTAGTAGCTGGTGCAATCCTGTGTTACAGCTTTAGGCTGAGAACAATGCTGATAACACACCAATGTTTTAGTAGCTGCTACATAGCGCTTACTCTAATCAAGGACTTCTCAGTCTCTCATGCTCTGCCAGTGAAGAGGGGCGTAAGAAGCCAGGAGGAAGCAGAGACAGGACACCTGACCCAAACTAGCCAAAGGGGTATTCCATACCACAGCATGTCATAATGTCCTGGGTTCAGCAGGACACATGCCCAGTATATAAACTGGGGGGAGTCACCCAGGAGGTCCAGATCACTGCTTGGGTTGGCCTGGGTATTCGTTGGTGGGTGGTGAGCAATTGTACTGGGCATCACTTGCGTTTATTGTTGGGTTTTTTTTCCCTTCCTTTTATAGTTTTACACCCTCTCCCTTTGTTATTTCCCATATTATTAGTAGTAGTGGTAGTAGTAGCAGTTTTGTACTGTACTTTAGTTATTTAGTTCTTATCTCAACCTGTGGGAGTTACATTCTTTCAATTCTGCTCCCCATCACTCCAGGAGTGCAGGGTGGAAGAAGGGAGGGAATAAGTGAGCGGCTGCATGGTTCTGTGTTACCAGCTGGGCTTAAACCACAACAGGCCTTTTTGGCACCCAACATGGGGAACAAACCCATGACCCTGAGACTGTCTCATGCTCTATTGACTGAACATAGTAAGCTTATAAACTGACATAAAAAGCCGTAATTCCTTAAATTCAGATGAGACTGTGTAAAAAGTACCCTAGATAATACAGTTTCCATTTAACATAAACGGGTTTACAGCTAGGAAAGAGTAAACATAATATTTTCCCAATGCAAAATAAAATAAAATAAAAAATACTTGGAGTTTTATACTTCTCACTAATCAGGATGATTATTTTAATAAAAAAAAGTCAATCAACTTACAGCCTGTGTCTTGTCTGAGGCAAAACTTGAACAGCTTCACCCAGGACTTTTACTGCTGTCTCCCAATCAGCTTTATCAGCATGTATGTGGAATAACAACCCATATAGGGAGGTTCTTAATGTCAGGTCTTCCTCAGCTCCTTTGAAGTATATTCAAATGCTATATTAATATACTGCACAATTAGAATAAATAGAGTACAAAATAGTGGGGTTTTTTAATCACCAGATCAAGAGAGAGAAGAACATGCCTGGGAGAAAGCATCCAGCTGACAACCCAATATTTTGAAAATCCTTTGTACTCCACTGGTGCAAAGGCAACATTTCCTTCTTCTCCTGAAAAGGCAAAAAAGAAAAAGTGCGTGATTGCCTGCATGTGCGAATGTGTGCTTGGTGAGTGCAGGTAAGTAACCACCCCTGTATTCCCCTTTTAGGAACGGACTCGAAGCATGCCCCCAGAGCTTCAAAGCAAACCAGATTGTTTCTTTATCATCAGTACCAATCACTAATCACAAGCACAAGTAATAATACCTGACAGATATTCTTACCTGTTTATTTTTAGATTCTGCTTCAATTATACTCTTCAGAATTATTTCAGTAGGTTCTTTAAGCTGCTTTCTGTAACGTGGAGAACCTAGCAAATGTAAACATGCATTCCAGAAGTGTCTAGCTGCAAACATTACAAGGGAATAATTTCCGGCTTCACCTGCGTGCCTGCAGAAAGTGGAGCACATCTTAATGAAGGAAAGCTATCACGCTCTAGCCAAAACGAAGGATTTTACTTCTGCAAACGCTGGAGTTTACCTGATCTAGGCACCACCATATATAATCTTGGGAATGAGGGGTTAACATATATGCTTCATACAAAAGATATTTTCCATTTTTGTATACAAACCACCTTCAACCATTCAGCAGAAGTAGCAATAAACAAGTACCATATCGATGGGTTTATCGTATTTCTGTGTAATCTTAGCTCAAGACCCTTCATCTTAAAGTAGTTGAAATCTACTCAAGATGTTCTTATGGGAATAATCTACTATTTTTTGGCTATTGTGTTGATTTCTCACTCCAAAACCTTTAAAAATAGTACAGAACAATTATTAAAATGCTATGTATTTTGCATAGTACAGTACTACTGTAACACAAGAATATACCCCAAATGGCTCTAACTGCATTCAAATTAGTTTGAGCATATTCCATGCAAATGTTACTTTGAATTAATTAAATTTAGTAACTCTCCAGATTGTGATACAACACAGTACTCACTTGAGTGAGAAAAAGCTTTAGAATTTAGCTAAAAATTATGGATTGGTATAAAACAATCACCCATCAAAGAGTTTTAAGATAAAAAACCACAAAAGCCACAACAGGTTTTGAATCTGGAACCTTTGCCATTTTCTCCCATAGTTTCATGATTTTTCAAGTCCATATGCTCACATATCTTAGACTGTAACACTAGACATACTAAGGCTTAAGTTTTGCTCACCGTTTTTTGCATTTGTTTTGAAATGTGTCAAGCTATGTACTTACATATAAATGCACTCAGTCCTTCCTAAAAAAGTGCTTGTCATAACATGCAAATTTAAAAAAAGAATACGGATTTATCCACATTGTGACATGACCTCAGAGTTCTGTCACACTGGCCACTCTAATTTCATTCATCACTCTCTTTTTTAAGATTGTCATGGTTTAGACCCAAACAGCAACTCAGCACCACACAGCCACTCACTTACACCCTCCTTTTTCCCTCCCCAGGTGGGATCAAAGAATCAAAGGAATGTAAAACTCACCAGCTGAGATATGAACAGTTTAATAACTAAAGTACAATATACTAATACTACAACTATTAATGATAACAATAAGGGAAATAACAAGGGGAGAGAATATAAAACTAAAATGGGAAAGGAAAAAAATGCTAACCACCAGTGATGCACAACACAATCACACAGCTTCCATGGACTGACACTCAGCCTGACCCAAGCAGAAATCAGTGCAGTGCATGACAGACTGCAAAATCCTTGATCAGGGCAAGTGCTACTGGGGAACACCTAAAACTTTGGTGTGTTACCAGCGTTATTCCCAAAATAAAGCAGAAACGCAGCAGTGCACCAGCTACTAGGGAGAGAATTAACTCAATCCCAGCTGAAACCAAACAAGAATGGATGAAAGAAAGAAAGTACTACAATGTTAACAGCCTCACACTGGCTATCACATGTTCATTTTCTAAGAGTTCTAATTGCCTACTTTTGCTCGTTTATTTTTTACGAATAGCAAAGAATCAATACTGAAGTCACGCATCATCTACATATCACCTCCTGCACATTCAGGATTTAAAGCAAACTTTCTACTTTGGTTTCACAGCATACAATTCACAATATTGACATCATGCTCTGCAACAGTGGAGACTGAAGACTCATTGGTTGAGGAGTAGCTTTGCTGAAAAGGACATGGGGTCTAGGTGGACAGCAAATGGAAAACCAGCCAGCAGTGTGCTCTGGCAACAACAGCCAAGAGCATCCTGAGCTGTATTAACAGGAACATACAACAGACTGGGAGAATTATCACTCTTTAAGTCAGCACTCTTTAGACCACATCTAGACTACTGCATTCAGTTCTAGGTCCCCCAACATATGCCAGATGTGGACAAACTACAACAAGCTCAGTGGAGGGCCATCAAGATCATTCGGGGAGAGCAGCACTTGCCTTGAGAAGAGAGATTGAGAGTTCAGGGCTAGTTCAGCATGGAGAAGAGTTGGCTTTGGAGGACCTAAGAAGAAGTTTCTTAATAACCTAACAAAGTTATTGAGAAGCAGCAGCCAGATTCTTCATAGTTGATGGCAGGACAAGCAGGAATGGGCTTAAGTTGAAATAAGAAAGGTTCAGAGCATTTATGAGTAAAAACTTTTCCCCCATGAATACAGTTAAGCAGTGAAACAGGTTACCCAGAGGCTGTTCTGTCACCATTCCTGGAGGGTTTCAAGACCAGATAAAGCCCTGGGCTGGTCCTGCTTTAAGCAGGAGTTTGGACTAGACCCCTTCTGAGATCCCTTCTGACTGGATTTTCTAATGACTCCGTGACATTACAAGATCAGCTATGTGGAAGTACTTGATAAATTTACTAACTGTAAACATCTTTCAAATCCTTTGTTAAGCATTTCAACTGTAGAACCCCAAATCTGTCTGGTTTGTATTAGTCTTCTCTCAAAATAAAACATACCAGGCACTCTGAACAAAGGCTTTTGATGCTGCTACATGCAAATGTTTTCTTCCGGGCAAATTTTCCATGATACTCTTCCCTTGTATACAGGCAGTAGTGCTCAACATTTCTTGTCTCATTCTGTTACCAGGCCTGAATAAAGGCAAATAATTCAAGAAGCGTTAGTCTTACAGTGTAAGAACATACCAGTTCCTATTAATGATGCTTTCAAGTTGTTACTAAATAGATGTCCCTAGCTTTGGAAGTTACAAATGCTTCTACTGACTTTTCTTTTAAAATCAGAAGATATTTGAAAACCTGAGCATTTTGTGAAAAGATATCAGATATAAATTATATTTTTCATCACTTTAATGATGATAACTGTGAAATAAGATTAAAAAAAATCATCTGTATTTAGCAAACACAGTTGGAGTTTTCTCCCCATTATGGACTATTGTACAACAAAGAAAATATAAATCCAAAGTCAAACTTACTTGGCAAGCAATTAAAAACATAAATAGGAAAAATTAGACAATTTTTATACTTTCTTTTGCAATTGGTCTCACTTATGTCTGGTAAAGTATGCACAAGGCTCTGGAGAAACTGATTTGGGGCATATTCTACAACATTTAAAAGAATGTAGATTTCAGTCCCAGAGTAAATTTTAAAATGACTAACTAAATAAATGTGATAACTTTGTTTAATACTGATTTTATACAAAAAGAAGTAATACAATTTGCAAGACTTTTTTTTAATGCCTTGGTTACAGTGTGCAACCATATACAGAAATACATGGTATCTCTACCCTGTGGTGAGAACCGTCATGTAGTTATGACTTGTGTCCACAAGAGGACACAACTGTTCTACTGTACAAGTTAACAGCACCAAAAAAAAGTTAAATATTTAACTCCTTTGTCCTGAAGTTGTGCTTCACCATGGGAAGACAAAACTTATCTTCCATTTCTCTGGAAACAGCGTTGACAATCCATGACTACATTTCTTGTCAAAGAACCAGGCATTTTATTATTCACTAGTCTGCAGATTGCTGGATACTCAGCAAGTATTTTCTCAATTTCTGTAATGCTCTGAAACTACATATTTCCTACTAAGATATCTTATTTGGTTTTACATCATTTTCCCATGTAGCAAACGTGTTTTTGAGAATTACTTTTTAGAGAGAAAAATGAGCAGTAAGCTACGTTCAGAGGTTCACGTTTATTTCAAGCTTCCTACATTCCAACAAATTAGTACTAAGTGGGGTTGATTCCTTTTGCTTTTGATAAAATTACATTCTGTTTTTCCAGGAGATTATATTAAAAAACCCAGATGGATTAAAGGATATCACCTCCACCAACAGATTCTTTTGTATACAGATCTTTTTTTTTTCTTTTTTTTTGCCTTTGAGATCAAGATTTAAATTATTACTTAAGATAATGGACTTTTGAAGAAATTCGCCCACATGCATAGGTAGTAATAAAGACCATAAAGACTACCTGACACCAGAGACTGGAATATAGTAGCTCTCTCACTGTCATTCAGAGCTCCATCTTGCTCATGAGCTGTGTAGACCAGCTCAGCACTGCCACAGTCTGCATCAGCAGAAGCATTAGAGTCAGGTACTTTTTGCTTGGAAATTATAAAAAGTCTGAAAAGACCATGATTGCCAGAGACCATTTCAGGAAAGCAATGCAGCCCCAGAAGACTCTCAAATGCGTGTGTATATGACCCGTTGATTCACTTGGATAACAAAATTCACATACCTTTGTGAACTGGGTCTGGAGCCACAATCTGGATCACACACTGCCTTTTACTCAGGCTACGATGCAGAGCTAAAACGTCATCTGCAGTACCTAAGTAACTGATACTGACAGAGGCAGTAGAAAGTAGGAAAATTTTGCTTCCACCTCTAACTGTATAGTTTCCTAATAAAAAAGATTCTTTCGCTTTTAATTATGTGATCAGGTGCATTTACCCTTTCTTCAAAACTTAGTTCAAGTATACCACAGTATCACGCAAAATTCCATGTACTTACATGTCACATTTCTTAGCATCTCTGTCATGGAAGAAGTTCTCATCTGACTGCAAGATCCTTTTGGAACAAGCCATCACTGTTTCATAGTCATGTGACACATACGCAAAATATGTAAATCGTGCCATTACCTGCAGTTCCACCAAGGAATCTGACCAACTGCATTCCAAAGCCAATTTCACTAACTAGGGAAAAAAAAAAAAAGCAGCAAACAAATTAAAAAACCCGAAAGTGCTCTTTTCTACAGCACTTACATGGTTACAGCTGTACCTTCCACACAACCCACCTGCACAGAGAACAAGTACACGAGAAAACAATCTAGAAAACCAAAGAGTTACAAGAACATTCAAAATATACGGCAGAGAACCATTGTTCACCTTGTAGTATTATACTAGTGCATGTACATCTAGCTGCAAGTGTGCATGCCTTTTGACCAGCAGTATCTGTCAGTACTTATCACATCTTCAGTCTTCTGAAAATCAATAGAAAAAGACTTCTGAAATTCAGAGCCCCTTTTAGTTAAGCCAAAGATAAGAATGAGAGATAGCACTGTTCTTACAATAATAGTGTTTCATGCATAGTTTCATTATAGGATCCTCCTTGCTCCTTTTGCTTTTGCAGTAATAATAATGCAAATATAAAATACCAATTATGAGTATTGTTAATAAATTGGTAAAAATGAGGCTACTACAGTACTGCTGTCCAAAACTAAGCCATTGAAGCTAAAGCTAACTCATAATATTTGGCATAAATCTGTAAACCAACTTACTACAATTAGATACCAACATATTTATATATATATATATCTATTTATAAGGACACAGATCCTAGTCTGGAGAAAGGACAATGTCACCAGATTCCTAGATAAATGGGGAAATACATCTTAGTCTTTTAAGAAAGCTCTCTACAGAAGGCAGAAGTTAATTTTGCCTCCATCTAAAACTGAAATAACATTGATACTATGCAATTTCTTAAAACTCAAGAGCTAATAAAATAAATACCTGAGGTAAGCTAGGAACAGTGAAATCCATGAGACCCAGGCCATTACACGAATACATTTCTAGACCAACAAGAATTCTTGTCATAGGATTTTGTGCTTCATCATTGTTCTATGCAGAAATAAAAAGCAATGCATTAACAGGTTTTGCTTTTTCAAGTAAAAACTGTTAAGGAAGTTAATTAATATGAGAAGGTAATAATAACTATATTTGGAATCCCCAAAGACCTCCTCTCTTCATTGTGTCCTTAAATGGAGGATTTTATGTATTTATTTATTTTTAATTAATACTGCGAACTCTAAATTACTACAGTTTTAACATCAGGAAAACATAGCAGCAACACAATGCAGGTAAATTCATGTACTGCTGAGGGATTATGGTTTTATAGTATAATAAAATAAAAAGATAGGAATAAAACTTTACTTATGAACTTACTAGGCCCATATTCTAGATACAGACCGTATTAAATGTTGATATAAAATATAGATGATTTTTCTCATTTTTCATGTAGCCATTTTATGATTTTAAATATATGAATTCAAACCCAACTTTGTTATACAGTCATCATATAGCAAACATTACCACAATTATTCTTGGCAGATAAAAACAGAAGGCAGAGTTAAGAAATGTAGACTCACTGCTATGCCAAATGTAAAGAATTTGCTGTGTTCCGTAAAGATTTATCGGAACTACAGCCAAAATTTATTTTCACATTGTATTTAAATATATAGAAGATACACATTGATAATTCCATTCATAATGAAATTAGCTTTTTCAAAGAAAAGTTTCAGCATTGTGCATGATTCCAGAGCAAAGTACCTCCTCCTCTGGCCCAAGTTTATGTCCAATCTGCTGCTGATTTAACTGTTTGGCTTTCACCCACGTAGCAATGATCTGCTGTTGAGCCGCAATAGGTACTGTTTCATTAGGTGCCATTCCAGTTATCACATTTAGGGCAAATTCACAAATCTGAACACCAAGAATTAAAAAAAGAGACTGAAACACAGGATAAATGTGGAAAGCTTTTTGTATGGAACATGCCATCCATTAGTTGTGTTAAAATTATTGCACATGCATGTCTAAGGCTAACAACATCTCTATAAAGTCAAACCATATAGTAAATAGAACTTCCAGTCCCCAGCTCCAATTGGTAAGGAACTTCAGTGTGCATTTGGGGAGGACCTGCAGTGGAAGAACTGTAAAATATGGTAGCTTATTTTTTGCAAAACGTTTCTATCATTTAATTTATATGAATTATAATATATGACAGCAGACCAAAGATAACTATAAAAAATGAGGGCTTTTTACCTCTAAGGCAGCTTTGATATCAGTAAGTCCACTGGGATCTACTAAAGAAGACTGGATGATATTTGCTTTTTCATGTTTCTTTACTGAAGCTCTTCTGCTTTTGTCTGCTGCATCTTTTTTTATCATCTCACCAAGTTTTGGATTTGGAATCCAACAAAGAATTAAGCCTCGAGCCAAAGCATTACATAACATCAATAAAATCTCAGCACTTCTGCAGAAGAAAACAAAAATCAGAAGTGCATAATGCATCAGATCAAAATAAAAGGAAGTAATAAAGCTTATTACTTTCATGCAATAAACATTACTTGAAAGTCTAGATTTTTTTAAAAAAGCAAAGTTATGGAAGTTACAAAATTTTTTTCCACTGTAAAAGCAGTTAAAATGGCTACAGGCACAAAATCCCACACCAACTCTCATAGTTTCCATCATATTATTTCAGCTTTTTCTATTATTTCTATTTCCTCACAGAAAAAAAAAAACCAAACATATTTATGTCAGACAAACACAATTAAAAATCATTTTTTTTGTTAGTGGGTTGCTATGCATGAAAATAACAACTACTTCCTAAAAAAACACCTAAGGCATAGGCCTCACATAATTCCATTTCTTTATTAGACTGTGGTGTCCTTCAATCAACTGCTGTAACTGCTGTGCTAGAATTACAATTTTTTTTTGAGAAAACACAAACTGAATTACGAGTAAGACATTACTGCTGACACATGCTAACATACATCTCAGCATTAATAAGCAGGTACTACCAATGTTCACCTCTGCACAAAATGTACTTCAGGTTTTGCTCTCCAATACTATTAAAAAGTCTGCTTTGCTGCTGGCCCTGACAGTCTGCCCAGGGCCGAGGTTGCTGTCAAAAATGTGCTACAATTTATAGCGTTTCATTCACAGTAAGACTTCGACTTGAGCATCTCCTCTGTTAATCATTCTCCTATGCACTTACTATGCAACAGGATTTCTCTAAACCACAGTGGAATCTATGTTCCCATTTTTATGGTCTATTAATGTGCACATTTACCCCCCTCCTTTTTCCCCCTCCTTTTCACCTTGCTCTGATTAGACATATTTACAATAATATAGAGTAACGAACCGTATTTACTATGTAATTCAACTTCAGAGCACATGACAGCAAGCAAACACATTTTGAGCTCTCCTGAAAACTCATAGGCTAAACAAATGTTCCTGATTCTTTCTGACTAGCTTAACAAAATGCTATTTTACATGAACATATTGCTATTCCGCAGCGAAGACGAACTAATATTGCGTAGTATAAAGTTCAATGAAAGACAGCAGTAAGTGTCATTCACAGCACAAACTGATTTAGAGTGTTTGTAAAAATATTTTTCCTGTTTTAGAAAACAAAGACCATGTTCATAACCAAACATCTAAATTTACCCATTGTGCCCAACAGTCTTGATGGCTCCAAGAAGAGTGTGCAGGTACTCAACAATTTCCCTCTGTCTTCCTGAAGAGATAAGATGTCTATTGTAGTTTAAGATATACACCACAGCATTGTGAACAATCCAATCTTCATTCAATTCTTCTCCTATTTCAGCTGCACGTTGGAAGTTTTCCATAGCATACTGAGATAAGCAGTCTATCCATAAGCTATAAAGTTAGTATAAAGAAGCTGTTATTCCAAAACTTCAACACTAAGAATAATATCATAAGATTAAATATGCAGCAGCACATCTTAATGAACAACAACAACAAAAATATAATTACTTTTCAGCTGCATTTATTAAGTCTTTCTACATTAAATTATGTTTTGCTTGGATCAGAAGATGACTCAGGAAAGGAACTGGAATCAACGTAAATTGAATAGTCTCGACACTCAAATGCTATCAGATTATAGCTCACACTTCATCCACACAGGCTTTTTAAAATGCATGTGTGAATCCACATAGAAGTGCTAGAAATCATTAAATATCCATGACAGGGCTCGATTTGAATACAGACACAAGGCATTCTACACAAGAGTTAAGGTGTCTTTTTCATTTAGTAACTAAATGTGTTCTTGCACTCAAAGTATCTCCAGATGTTGTGAAATGATAAATTAATTTTTAATAGAATAAGATCTTTTTCATAGACTGTGCAATAACTTTCTTTCCAGTAACTTTTTTCTTATTATTAAGATGCACTTTTACTTAGAAAAAGCAATATTAAAAAACAGTCTCTAATGACGGTACAGAATTGCCATGGTTGAGTCACAAAACCGAAAGCAAAAACTGGCACAAGGTATTACTATGTCAACAATGGTACAAAACACAGTAGACCAAAGTGCTTTTTTCCTACGTGTTTTTTATCTAATTGGGTAAGCTCAAAAACAGCTTAGTAGCAAATTTTGGAACAGAATCCTCATCATCTTTGTCCCTTGTTCCGGTAAGTTCATATTTTTTTTCCCATTTTACTAAACATCTGAAAGCAGACAGTGTGAGAAACTTTATTTAACCTTCAGACCTAATGAACAGACTTAGGAACACAACTCTGACATCCAACTCTTTCAGGACATGATCACGATCACAATAAGGCTAATATTAGCGTGAATGGGAACAGAAGAGAGTTCAAATGTCATCTTCAGAATTCTCCCCTTCTCCTCCTTTGAAAGAAATAATCATGTGAAAAAAAACCCTGACACTTGCTATCCTCTACTCTCCCTTATTCACTTCAGGTATTTGATGGAACAGACTGGTTTTGCAATTCATTCTATGTATTCAGATACTCAGACATCATTATATTTATAGGAGCTATAAAGCAAGACAAAACGGGGTTTGATTTGGGGAAATACAGTTTTAAATACCGAATAGAACAGTCTTAAATGTCAGTACAACACCGATTTAACAGTTTTTAAGGTTGGGATACTAGTTTCAAAGAAATAAATGTTAAATGAAAAACAAAATACACACTCCAAAATGAAAGCAATTGAGAGAAAATTATCTCAAACAATTTCTTTAGATTCTTATCCTTTTCCCATTACCACAACTACTTACAAATATGAATCATCTGGTGACAAGGAATTTTACTAAGAAGAAATAACTTTTGCAATTATCATCTGAATGTGATAATAACTATCTGTTACAGTTCTTATGTCTTTTTATATATTTATGAAAAGCACCTGTATGTTTTCCATTCTGGATCACTTTCAGACAGATATGAAACATATTCTGGATGACACTGACTTGCATCTTCTGGAGGTACAGCATGATCATTCAGCTCAGTTCCCTGCAATCTTAATAAATGAACAGTTGCCTGGAAAGATACACAGAAACACATTTTTTATCCAGGTTATCCTGGTGAAAATAGACTGTGACTTAGTATTAGTGTTGTTACCTCTTCAAAAATCAGAAAATACAAAATGCTTTTTCAGATGGTGTACAGGCATGCACAACTGCATGGAATACAATGTAAAATACTTCATCATCTCCCAATTGTCTGTAGATAATTCTACTAAATAATTTAATTTTGAAAATTATATATATATATATATATATATACTTTTAACCATGCTGGAACTTTAAGGATTCAGAAATGTCATGTCAAACATTTATAGCAGAATCCCTTGTAAAAACGTATTATCACCACCTGCAGTGATTATAGCTATAGTTACTTTCATAGAGTATTTTGATAAAGATGCTTCATGAAACAACTTCTGCCTTTAGTTCCTGCGGAGATAGTCATTAAACAAAAATTCCAGTACTTTAAGATTTATACATAAAATTATACATAAAACATAGCTAAATAAAACAAACATGAATGACAGCTGTGCAAATTATTTACCTCTGCATTAATGAATCTTATTTCTGCTAATATTCTTAGTAAATCTCTTTCAAAAGAGAAGGATTTAGTAGCTAGTAATGATTCTACTGGTAAGCTGTCACCTTGACCATCATCCAGCACAGCTGTAGTAGCTTTCTTCTTCTGTGCTAAAACTAAAAAGACAGAATTCCTTTATTTTTATCAGGCAAATCAGAAAAAAAAAATGTCCATTTTAAAATGTAAAAATTTCTCCATGTCCTTAAATCCGCAAGACTTAACAAGTACAGATTTAAAATTGTTTCATTCACTTTTTTTCATCAGTACAATCTATTGCACTCAAAGCCTGTTCTTCTCAAGCAGTGCTGAGGTATCAGCTACCTGTGATATTGCTGCATTTGTGCATCAACTTCAATATTTGCAGTAAAAAACTTGCTCCAGTCATAACATGCTTACTGAGATTACATTAAGATGAATATAACTCATGGTCTCTAGTCCAATTTTATTGCATCAATGAAAGGAGAGTGCTGAGCATTACGTAGTGGATAGAATCTCAGCATTTTAAAATCATGGATGGGTTTCACTTTCTGGCAATTTACACATCATAAGAGAGAAAAATAGCATTATTTTTTCTTTTGTTTAATAATGAAGAGAAAGGAACAAAATTATTTTGATATAAACACAAAGTAAGAGCATAAAAGCTGTCATAGTGGGTTTCCTCTACATTGCTGGCCAACGGTGGGTGTTTGAGGAAAAGTAGGATACACAAAGCTATTTTCAATCCTGGTCTACCTTCACAGTTTTTCAGAATCTGCATGCAATTTCCTGAACCAGAGCTTCTGTTTGACCATCAGGTTCAATACTCTTTGATGAATCTGACTTACCAGTTTTTCTCTAATTTTTTAACCATACTTCAATATTCAAAAATAAACTTTTAATTTTGGTTAAAAAGTAAAGCTTTTGTTTTCTTAAAACCTCCAGTCTGATAATTTGAGTGGCTTGCTCCTGGTGCCTAGACCAATCACACATATTCAAATTCTCCAGACAAGCCATGTTTTGTCTTTCATCTCTTTTCCAAGCTAAAGGGAAAAAGAAGTACTTACTAGAAACTCAAAGCAACCACGTACCCACTATGGTAATGGAAAGATCATTAATAGGAATTGGTATGTTATTTTTCTCTAACTCTAGAACATCTTGAATTAGGTGCCTTTGTTCGGGCCTGACAACCCAGCAAGCCTCTGTAAAGGGTCTTCACAATACAACTACTTTTCCCCTATCCTCAATATGATATACGTAAAGAAAACCTTTCATTTTTCTCACGCACTAATCCGAGAATCAGTGAGTGGTTTGTGTTGGAAGGGACACAAACTCACAACTTCCAACCCACTGCACTGCCAGGGGGAGGGACACCGTTCACTAGAGCAGGTTGCTCTGTCCAACCTGGCCTTGAACACAGCCAGGGATGGGGCAGCCACAGCTTCTCTGGGCACCCTGTGCCAGCGCCTCAGCACCCTCACAGGGAAGAGCTTCTGCCCAAGAACTCATCTCAGTCTCCCCTCTGGCAGGTTAAAGCCATTCTCCTTGTCCTGTCCTTACAGGCCTTTGCTCAAAGCCCCTCTCCAGGTTTCTTGTAGTAAAGAAAAATGACATGGAGCATGAAAATGAATGGTGCAACAGTTCTCAGAGAACTCCAGCCAATCATAGCTTGCTTTCCTTGCCTTGAGCATCTACAAGCCTATTCCTGTTTCAAGCCTGTTCATGTTTCATTTAACTGCAAGGAGCTATTTCCAAACTAGAAACTGTCCAGAACAGATTACCTCAACTGCCCATCAAATGCAACATTGTCTCCTTCACGCTGACAGAAACACCTAACGCTGAGTGGCAGTATGAATGGGTTTCCAAGAGGCTGTTCTTGAGAATGCTGACTTATGGTCAGAGTTAGTGCTGGATTTCTGGTGACATTCTTCCTCTGAAAGCATCAACCAACTTCAGCAACCTCATAACAAACTTTAATTGAACCATTTGAAACACTTCTAAACAGAGAGGAAGAGTATCTTTATGCCCTGCCTTCCCAGGAAAAGACACAGACGAAATTACAATTCCTGTAAACTTTCAGAGTATGAGAAAGACACTTTTACCTTGGAGATGGAAAACTTGTGAAAGAAGAACATACCAGTTCCTATTAATGACTGGTTTGGTGCATAGCTGCCCAGAGGTCTTGGTAAGTACTTTATTTTCCCTTTAGTTTGGAGAAGAGATGAAAGACAAAACACGGCTAGTCTGGAGATACAAAATTTGTGACAGAAAACAGGCAAATTAAGCCATATTTTAAGTGGACCTTGGAAACAATCTAGAGAAAAATGTGGAAAAGTTTCAGTTAACATTGGGTAGGAAAAAAAAAAACAACCCAGCCAACAGGCTGTGCACTAGAATTACATCGGTTCTTAAGGTTTTATGAACTCCCACGCAAAAAAAAACACTTTAACAAGATATATGTAAGGAAGCAGCTAGTGGTTTGAAAGTGCTCTTTCACTGAGTTCAGAATGTGTGTTCGATTTTCAGTAGACCCTCAAGAAAGAAGGCACAGACAAGGTCAGATACCTCAGAGGACCACTAATAAAGGAGCAAAGGGTAAAAATGTTACCACATGAGCCTCATACAGAGTGACTGATAATCCATTTTCTTCAGTTTCCTCAGATAATTAAGTATGACAGAGATGGGTAATATGGACCTAGATGACCATTAGGGAATGAACCTATTTTCTTAGATAAATAAATTTCATACAAGTACTTTTCTTTTGCACCAGTGAAACACTTCTGAAGGCAGAGTATGGCTTCAACAGAGAACATCCTGACCGACTTCAGATCCATCCACAGGAAGGAAAAAAAATAGTAATATTGAGTGACTTTTTCAAGTAACTCTAATAAATGAGGGAAAAGTTCCTCTCACAACATTTGGAATAATTTGTTCACTTACTTTTTTTATTAGGCTTTGCTACCTTCCTAAACAAAGTATCATCATACCAGAGACAGAATCTGCACGCTGCACGGCAGACATCCCACACTTCTTGCTTACGTGCAACTTTTGCCAAATCTGCCCAAAGTCTAATTCTACCAAAGAAAAAGCATACATAAAATTACTTCATAAGCAGGATTAGCAAGAACATCATGTCACTAACGATGGCCATCATCAATAGAATTTTAAGTCTAATAAAAATTAATAAACGGAAGACTTCTTAGCAGGAAAGCTAATACTATTACTTTATCAATCTAAAAAAAATCCCCTCAGCATATGAAGAGTGGGTCAAAATTCTTGCTTTGGATAGTAACCCTACTGAAATTTCATAATGTGTGTGACACCCCTATTATCTATCTTGCAAAATAAACTAAATATTTCAAAACTGATGCTGAGAATTTCAGAAAACAAGTCTTGAAAACAAGTTTGGGTTTAGCATTTTTTAGAAAACAATTTTAAATTTCCTCACAGGAATTTTTAGGGAGGAAAAAAAAAAAAAGCAAATACCTCCTTTTAAATCAAGAATGATAAAACAAAACCTTTGATTTTTCTACAAACTTATCTTCCTGACTCAGAATGGACAACTTCATTTCTTTGTTAAAAAGGTTGTAGCATCTGATATGGTACAAGGACCTAAAACCACACTGCAGCAAACTTTCAGTTGTTCATCAAGTTATTCAGTCTTCCAGCCTTAATCCACTCATTTTCTGTGTATTCATTTCACACCAACAGTTGTTTTGTGCATGTGAGAGACATTAGAAGCAGCAGAAGAATACTGTTACACAGAGCATGTGAATGTAATGGAACTTTTGAGATAAATTTAAACACATGCTTAAATGCTCTGCCAGGTCTGACTCAAGTATTCAGACTCGTAATACAAGGTGCCATCAAGTAACTTAGCTGCAGTAAGAAACTTTCCAGTTAGACACTTTTACACAAGATGAAAGAGACACTTCTTGACTATAGGAATTACCTCTCTCTGTCATTTCCACTTCTCAGGTGTTTCAAATGTTCATCAACTTTCTCCACACTTTTAATATGATGTTGTGCTTTAGCACAGAGGTAGCTTATCTGACTCCTACTTTCACCTGAGGAAACTTAGCAAAGACAAAAGAATTTGAAGTAAATTTTAAGTACAAGATATTAAAAAGTCCACATGAAGGGTATGCTTTTTAGAATCATAACTGGTTTCTGAAACACATAAAATCCAGCACTTTTTTAAGCTCTTCAAGCTTTCCCCGAACCAACCAACTAACATGAAAACCAACCCCATCAGCATGAATTCTATTTTTTCTGTATGTTCAGATATAGTTGTCCATACAAAAACTGATTTAATCCTTGTTTGGCCCTCAAATATCTCACGTTGTTGTGGTTTAAACCCAGTCAGGTAACTTGTTCACTCACTCCCAGTGAGTGGTGCCGAGCTGACAACAATCAAGGTCCGTGTCCGTCTCCCCCCCCCCTGCACCGGGGCTCTCCCCTTCCCCGCTCCCGGAGGAACGGGGAGGAGGATCGAGAGAGTGCAACTCCTACGGGTTGAGACAAGAACAGTCCAGCAACAAATCACCACCGCTACTATCAGCTAAAACAATGATAAGGGAAAATAACAAGGGAAGAGAATACGATACCACCGGCCAAGAAAACGAGTTCCACCCGGAAGCTCCTGTCCTTCCGGGTAACTCCCAGTTACCCCCCACCCCGGCCATGACGTGCTGTGGTATGGAATACCTCCCCGGCTAGCCCGGGTCAGGCGCCCCGTCTCTGCTTCCTCACAGCTTCCCCTCCTCCCTGGCAGAGCATGAGCCTCACAGAGTCCTTGGTCAGGGTAAACATCACTTAGCAACAACCGACAACATCGGCTTCACCAACACTGTTCTCAAACTAGAAGTCAAAACACAGCACTGCACCAGTTAACACAAAGGAAAAAACATGACTGCTACTGCTGAACCCAGGACACACGTACACCTCTTTTCTGACGGAACATGCATTGCTCTAATGAGCCTCAGTCAAGAGTAAAGGGATGAAGTTAACACATAAAGTTCACACTCATGTTAAATTTTAAGTACACTTAACCTAATCAAACACATTTTCAATCAATATTAAAGTTTGTTGTTCTGTTTTAATTTGAGAATACTGACTTCTGGTTTACTTCATCAACAGGATACTGGGCAAAAATATTAAACAAAGATATTACCAACACAGAATAATGATACAAGGGAGGAAGAAGCTGGCTTGCTGAGGTAGAAAATCCCTTCAGTGGTACAGATACATCAAAAAGAGGTATTTTTTGGCATGTAATGACATAGAAGAGATGGTTTACATTAGAACACAAGTAACTTTGATATAACTGAGAAATCCAATGAGTTTGGGCATTCACTCGAATCTAAGACATCTAAGACATCTCCCTAGCACAATGAAGACTGAGTAAGTTTTAACTTCATCCTCAAAATATTCACCAAATAATACCAGAAAATACATATATTTTTGGCTTTAATATATATATCTGCAGGTTCACTTACATTCATATACAATGAAAAGAGAAAGGTGTAGCGTTTTACCATTCTTGCTAAAAATGTTTTGAAATGCTTTATCTAGCATATAAGGCTGTGATACTCATAGATCAACTGACAGACAACATTCAGTACAACGAGCGATGACAGTATTATAGTGTAAGGTTTAAGGGCAAAGAATTGTGGATTAAAAATGTACACTTTTCTCTGGATCTGTGGGTACAATGCTCTCTAAATTAGGCCAGCACATACATAGGCAAAGAATGAAATGATGATTTACAGGTTTTATGCAACTTAAAAGAAAAAATCCCAAAACACCTGCAGATCTGATGTCCTGTCCTATGTGTGTTTCAAAAATACAAGTTAAACATATATATATTCTTACCCTTTCAATAAACATGTTTCAGTTTGCTGTAACTTAAGAGAAACTTAAATGGGTTTCTACTTAAACAGGGGAAGTTCAGGCTGGATATAAGGAGGATGTTCTTTACTGTGAGGGTGGTGAGGCACTGGCACAGGTTGCCCAAAGAAATAGTAAATGCTCCATCCCTGGCAGTGTTCAAGGCCAGGCTGGACAGAGCCTTGGGCAACATGGTCTAGTGTGAGGTGTCCCTGCCCACGGCAGGGGGTTGGAACTAGATGATTTTAAGGTCCATTCCAACCTTAACCATTCTATGCTTCTAAGTGTCATAGAAAGATCAAAAAACATTCTTCAGATGACAGCCTCAGGAACACCTTAAATCTTTCAAAACAAAATCTTACAAAATGTTATCTCAAACAGGAATATTTTGATAATAGCTGGTTTGGAAGCACAGGACTCCTGGAGCATTCCCTCCTCCAGCATTATCTCTACCCTAGGAGTACATGGGGTATCCTCAGAAGGTTAACTGAGTCACACACTTGCTATATTGCCAAGACAAGACAAAACAATTCAAGCAGTCTGGAACATCTGTTCCTTGTCCACTGTTGTTCAACAACAAGCTGTATTGTCATAAACTGAAGCAGTTTGTGGCATAAGAAACATGCCTATTTATGATCCATGTTTTAGAAAGTAAGTAATTCATGCCTAGATCTGCATGCAAAACTTGATCTCTCAAAAACAAGATTTTGGACTAGAAAGACAATCACAATATAGAATAAATACCCAATATTGTATGTAATTAACACAGAATATCATGGGGTGAACTTTGGAAAGTAACATTTAAAACTGACCTTGGGTAAGAACATTCAGGAGTGGCACAGTGAAAATAAAGTTACAGCCCAACAGCACAACTTACACACAGCAATAAGATTCAGATTAATTCAGAGGGAAAAACAATAACATTTCCTCTCCCAGTCTCACAATATAAACCTTGGATCCCTACTGAAATTGACAGGAGCTTTGGCACACAATTCAGCAGAACGTCACTTCACCCGTATTGCAATAATCTCTACATATTGCCACTATATACTATGCTCAACACTCAAGACTGTGCAAAGCTGTCAATGTCAAGTGCACTGACTTTTAGTCACATGTATGTACATTACCTTTAGCTTCATTTTCACTGTCAAGCACTATCTGAAATGAATCAGGAGCTAGTGCAAGACCTGCATTTATAAGCAGGGATCTCTTTTGTCTTGCATTATCTTTCTGCTTTCCCCTTTTAACCTACGTAAAAAAAGAACTAATTGTTACAAGGTTCATTTTTATTATTTTCCTATTTGTATATCTTATTTATTAAACATAACAGAATGCAGATCATCTAACTTCCTACTAACAAAAAAATACCTATAGGAATTTTGTATTTTCATAGATCTTATCATTTTGCAATAATATTGCTGTTGAAAGTGACTGTAGAACTTTGGTTCGACCTTGTCATGAACACATCAAAGATAACTGAATATGAAGTACAATTCAGGCTCCTCATGGATCTTTACAGTATATTCCTCAGTGTATAACCTGTCATGTTACACTTTCTTAAATAAAGAACAGTACCTATTTAGAAACCAACAGTACCACATCCATTGTGCAATAACTAGGAATTGCTACAAAATATTAAGAACTCCCTTGTCCATCAGAATTAGCTACAGTTAGAGGAGGTGTAAGTGCTTTTTTAAAAAAAATAACATTTAAACAGAGTAACCTTGCATGAAAATGGCATTAAAACTAGACCAAAAAATCCTCAATTTTTCTTTGTCTTAACAATAGACATATGCACTCACCAGCAACCTTCCAGCACTGATTTTAAGTTCAGTGAACACATCTTAATTTCTGTGAATATTCCAAAATGTTGTATAGATTAAAATTCTTTTTGACAACAATCAGCAGCCTGATTTTTGTTCAGGTGCTGAGGCATCACAACAGAATTACATGCAATAACTCTTGGCAATGACTACACTGTGACTTTAAATCATATTATTTAGCGTCATTTGTTAATGTAACATAATACTGATTTATTCCCAAGCCAGTCAGGATGTTTAGCTACTTGGCTACTGCTCTTCTCATTAATTAAAATACTGTTCCATGCAATGAAATCTGACTTGTTGACAATTATGAATAAGCCGCTTCTTTGCTGATATTTTTGCTAATGAGTAACTTCCCCTCTCCCCCAAGAAATAAGCTTTGAGTATAACAGGAAAAAATCCTCTATTGCAATCTTCAGAGTGTGAAGCATCATGGCCACCACAGTGAGAAGTAGAGATTTTCAAGGCAGCCAACCAATGCTAATTTGCTGAAAGCAAGATGATACTGGCTACTAATATGCAGTTCTACCAAACAGCTGACTTTCCTCTGGAAGAATTTGATAAGCAGACCTACTATTTCAGCTACGGACCTTATTCTTCATGATTACATACCTGTTCAATCATCATTACTGCCCGATCCTCTAGACGCTCAGGTGACTTATACAGCATACTGTACACACGAAGACGGTTAAAAGCCAGTCTTAGATGTTCTTGATACTGCCCACAGTTGTTTAGATGTATAGCTTTTTGCAAATGTTCCACAGCAGCCTCTATTCTGTCCCCATCTTCTTCAATACGAGCTACTTCCATATGAACTTGGCAACGCAACAAAACCAACACGCTAAGGAACACAAATTTAAATGGAAACTGTTAACATGAGACAAACTGAAATTCCTAGACCTAAAAATTACCCAAAGTAAAACTCAACAATTAAAAGTCACTCCAGCACTTGTCTCAATCATTTTAAATATGCCTTTTTAAAAATGGCTTAGAACATTTAACTGCATTTTACTTGCATGAAAAAACACAGCCATGACAAAGCACCACAACTTGTAGCCTAACTGATCTTGTGTGTTAGCAGAACTGTTTTTCAGTACCAACACTAAAGTTACCACTTAGGTACGAAGTGAAGTGAACAGATTTTCAAAAGAATTTATTAACTAACTGCCAGAGGGAGCACGATGAACTGGACAATGGCCACTTTTGATCAAAGTTCACTCTTTGTTCCTAACATTTATGTAGAAGCTAATACTTTTAAAAAAATCTAGCCCTGACTAGCTAAAAAACCTAACCCCTTTTACAGATCTGGCTCACCAGAGGCACACTCACTGCAGGCAGTGTCTTTGCCTAGACCTTACTGAAACCACTCCATGAAGCCAGCATATTTTCAGTAAGGACTGTGTGCTCTCCAGTCTCAGGTACACTGTGCTCGCTTAACCAGCATGTGCCACAGGAAGCTGCCCATGACAGCTCCGAGCTCTACATGCTACCTCTGATTATTTCCAGGAAGAAAGAAAAAAAAAAAAATCAGATAAATTAAGGCAATGTTATGAAAACTAGAACAGAAGGACGGTTTTCAAGGCTATCAAGGTTGGACGAGGCCTTGGGTGATATGGTTTAGTGGAAGGTGTCCCTGCCCACGGCAGGGGGGTTGGAACTAGATGATCTTAAGGTCCTTTCCAACCCTAACTATTCTATGATTCTACGATCACATATCATGACAAAGAACGAACGTATATCTACATTAGAGCTAATCTGACCAGGCAAGTGTCACCCTTTTACTGCAGACCAAAGTAGTTACAATTAATGCTACAATCAAACCAAAAATGAAGACAGGCAAATTAATAAGGACAATGACTTCACACAATCTCTAGTGACACATCAGCACTAAAGACTGGGTCTACTGGACTGTTAGGAATAGACAGAAAACAAAAGCCAAAGACCTAACCCCCCAAAAACCAGACCTGCAAGCTTTAAAACAACTGTCATTACTGACATTTAGTATAAATATCAAAGTCCTGTGTGCTGATATTGCACTCTTATATGGAAAGCGTAAGAAAAAAGTATAGAAATACAACATAGTGGGTTTGCACATTTGTATATATGCATCTTCAGGCTTCAGGTTTTTTTCAGTGATGTCCAGTGATAGGACAAGGGGCAATGGGTGTAAACTGGAGCATAGGAGGTTCCATGTGAACATCAGGAAAAATTTCTTCACTGTGAGAGTGACAGAGCATTGGAACAGGTTGCCCATGGGGGTTGTGGAGTCTCCTACATTGGAGATATTCAAGGCCTGCCTGGACAAGTTCCTGTGTGATGTACTCTAGGTTACCCTGCTCTTGCAGGGGGGTTGGACTAGATGATCTTTTGAGGTCCCTTCCAACCCTTGGGATTCTGTGATTCTGTGATTATGCAACTAAAAAATTACATTTTTAAAACACTGAAAATGTATTACTCACCTTCCTCTGTATTACCAACTACTTTTCTGCTCAAATGACAAATTGTTTGTCACTAGCTCTACTCCAAAAGTTATGATCTTTGTTCTTAGTAGCCGGCCTATACATATTTTGATTTTGATTAATGGTATTTTTCAATTCCTAATAAATTCCAATATTTGCCATAGGCCATTAAACAGTGTGAGATTTTGCCTGAAAGGAACCTCTTAAAAGATTCATGAGGAACCATGCACAATACACAGACACTAATTTATTAGAAGATAGAGGAAAGTTTTCCAAAACATTGACCATCATAAAGCTTGAGCTTTGAAATAAGTTTGATACTCAGTCATTAGACCTTTCAAAGTAAAAATTTAGAAAGTACACAGCATAGAAGGATACCTGTCAATCTCTTCAAGGACATCAGCAACTGATATCAATGGCTTTCGTACACATTGATGCAAATTGTGCTGTAGTAGTGGTAAGCACAGGTTCCACTGGGTTGTACAAACAACCTGGATCACATCAGGATCACCCAATCGAACTGCATGTTTTAAAGTTAACTCAAGATTTTTTATCAATTCCAGCTGAGCCTACACAAATGAAAGATTCATTAGCAGATATTGCATTTAATGAATATAACTTCTTACATGTTCCTCCAAATTTTAATTTTAGGACTGTTTCCAATAGGAAGTAGCCCTTCAGTCAGCAGACTTTGGGAACTTTGGGTTTGGGTTTTTTTTTAATAGTTATTGCTAACTAAGGAGTATTTCTTTTACGTACTCCTCTCTGTTACTACATATTTCAGGCAGAAGTCTGTCAGCTATTCCCCTTTCTTACGGTAAACAGAAATTGATCATTGTGACATATTTATGAATTCAGATTTATTATTTTTTTAATACCAAGCTACAAATGCAGTGTAGGAGAGGAAAAAAAGAAATACTATGAATGGGATTTGCCATACTGTCAAATAAACCTGGTTCCTGCTAAAACTAAAAGCAAAATCTTATCTACAGTAACAGACACTTGATAATTAGCAAGCTCTTTTTAGAGTTTATGTGATTAAAAACATTTTTTAAATTTATTTAAATATTAATTTTATTTTTGTTTTAATTTAAAAAAAGCCACCTCTCCAACTGCAACCCTCTCTTACACTGTGGTAGGAATTTTTAGAAATACCTAAATATCTGAATATCCTATTTTTTATTTAAGCACTATTATTAGTATTTAACATTATGAGGAATTCATTAGATTGTTTTTTCAAAGGTGAAAGGGATTTCTGAACTCCAAAAGGTACTCATAGAGAAGAGTAAGTTTATGCACTATCAATTTCCATGAAGCATATTCATACTTTCCGTTTTAGGAACTTTAGGTGCCTCTAACAGCTGTTATAAATTTCCCACTGTAGGTCTCTATCTAATCCCATTGATAATATTGCCAATTTAGGCTTCTACTTTTGATGGCTTGAATTATAACTGAGTCAACTGGCTACAGAAATCTAAGAAAAATCTTCTCCAATGTGACAATTTATCGAGAATAATCTTCATTTCTCTGACACAATAATCTGTATCAGATCATCCATCACACGCAAGAATAGTTGAGATGGACTTGATGATCTCTATGGGTCCCTTCAAACTAAAGACATTTTATGGAAACGCCTCCCATAAATGTAAAATATGAAAACACAAGAGCATTGCCTTTGCATGCCTCAATGTTACCATCTTTACGCTTGGAAAGTAACATATTATGAACCTTTATAGTCAGACAGAAGACTTAAGGGAGGAATATACAACTACTGTTTATTTTTACCCATTTTGTTCTTGGAAGCCCAATTAGAAAGAATATAAAGTTTAAAATAATTTCTGATCAGTATAACGTAGCTAAGACACACAAACCCAGTGCATTTTCCAAGGTTTAGCAAATTTTCACTTTTCTCTCAAAGCACGTGTTAAAGAACATACCTTAACGACTCCTTGGGTATAAGTCACAATTTTAGTGGCAAGTGTTTTTGCTTCATATTCACATTCCAGGCATTCTATTTCAATAAGTTTCCGTTGCTCCTATGTAGTATTAATACACAAAATTCTAATTTTAATAATTAAAAAGGAACACAGATGAAATCTTGAAAACTTGGATGAAAGTAGAACTCCCACTATCACGTAATGACAAATACATAGATGGAATTCATGGTATAGCTGAGGAATCAGGCAGTATTTGGCAAAAGCCAAGGAACTGGAACTTGATATAGATTTCTCTCTCTGCCATAAAGAGGTCACTGTCAAAATGATGCCAGTCAATCTAAAGATTGTCACTTGAACACCCAATAACTCTAAGGGAGAAGGCTAAAATCAAAGCAAGGCATCTCTACTGCTGCTGCAGAGCAGATACTTGATATTACTATCTATATGAATACTTGAACTAAATCCTTGTGAATCTTTGATCTAGAGGATTTAAACACATTCAGTGGGATGCTATGGAATTGTGTCTGATTTTAGACTTGCAGTAAATGTTCAGACAAAATGGGCCTGAAGCAGACATCTAGAATAAAAAAACATAATTAGAGAGGATAAGTAAAATTTACCTTACAACCAACTCAAAGTAGGATCATTATAATAGAAATTCTGAAGTACATTTTGAAATTTGTTTGGCAGTATTTGCCATTTACATTTCCTTACATACACATTTCAGATAACCAAAAACTTACTAAAACCAACACAATCAGGCACTTTGTTAACCATTTTTGTATCTGGAAAACATACTGATTTTCTGAATAGAGTGATGAACAGTTCTGTTTCTCAACAGGTGTACTTATTTTGGCTGGGATAGAGTTAGTTTTCTTCACAGCAGCTGGTATGTGGCTCCATTTTGGATATGTTCTGAAAACAGTGGTCATCACACAGGGATGTGTCAGTTATTGCTGCACAGTGCTTGCACAGTGCCAAGAGCTGTTCTGCTTCTCACCCTGTCCCACCAGCGAGCAGGCTAGGGATACACAAAGAGTTGGGAGGGGACACGGCCAGGACAGTGGATCCCAACTGACTAAAGGGAATTTCAAAGCATATGATGTCATGCTCAGTAATAAACCTGGGCAGGAAGGTTATTTCTGCTCTGGGACTGGTGAGGTCAGCTGATGGTGAACAATGGTTTTCATTTGCATAATTTATTTTTTGCATGGGTTTTTTCTCTCTCTCTTTTTTTTTTCCCTCATCTTTTCTTTACAATTTATTATTATTTCTTCTTAGTTATTAAATTATTTTTATCTCAAGCCACAAGTTTTCTCACTTCTACCCTCTTGATTCTGTCCTGCATCCCACCAAGAGAGCAAGTGAGCGACTGTGTGTGGGACTCACAGTTGCTGGATGGGATTAAACTACAACAGTGAGAAAGGAACAAGGAAAAAAACCACAAATCTCAGAGCCAGCTGGATATAGAAATCAAAAAGAGCACACATATCAAAACATGAGTTATTACAGAGACAACACAACATCTTAAGTGTAAGAATACTCCTACAGCAACAGTAGAATAAAAATACTACAGAAGAATAAAAATTATTAAATGTTACTAAATAACTAATCTGAAAATTGCTGGAAAATTAATCATTCCTACTAAATGAAACTAGGAAATGTATAGGAACAAACACTATCAGAAAAGATCCACAAAAAGGAGAGGATTAGGGAGTGCAGTTGGGGCACACTGCCTCTGGATTTCTCGCTCCAATGAGAGAACTATGCCCAAGTCCTATTTTCCAGAAAAGGTAACTACTTTGGGGCACTTTTTTTGGCAGGCTTTTTTGAACTCCTCCTTCCATCAGTCCCCTAATCATGCTCCAGAAAAAGACTAACGTGGATGTATGCAACATTAACTGCCTTTAGAGCTCATATCCTGGTGATCAATTACAATCTCAATGGCTAAACTGCTTAAATCTTCAAAATCTGCAGGCAGCATTTAATGTCCAGCCAAACTGTTCCACAGATAACATTTAAAAAACAGAAGCAAAAATTTACAGTTAACATTTATTTACCAAAACTAACTGCACTGCTAATTACCCTATTCTATACCCTACCTTCTGACCTTACACCTTCTGTCTAGTTTAGTAATAGAAAACTCATCCAAATAGTTATTTATAATATCAATGAATATATAACCAATACAGAGATGGACATAAGATCCCAGTACCATCATATTATTTTTAAATTATAATCACAAGTGGGGCCTAAAAAAAAATAAAACCAACCTTAATATTAATACTTACAGTAATCCCAGCTCTCTTCAAATCAAGTATACAATCATATGCAAGCTTAATGTAGTTTGCTTTCAAAGAAAACCGGCCTAATTCCAGAATCAAAGGAATCCTTTAAAAATAGAAAAATATCATTTCAGAGAATCTGATATTGCTCTTTTATGGAATTATAAAAAACACAGTATAGAATTAACTTTGAAAAAAATATGTGAAAACCTTGCATTAATTGAACATTAGAGGACATGATTATATTAGTGATGTTCAAAGCCAAGAAGGAAAAAGGAAAAAGACTGAAAAAATCAATGAAAAATACAAAAGTATATCTGTTTACGGAAAGGAATTAGTACAGTAGTCTGCATAAACTGCTCCTGAAGAACACAGAAAATACAGAATGAAACGTATGCAGCACAAAGATGGTGAAATAGCAAAACAACATTGCAAGTAATTCTGGAAATACAATGCAGTCAAATATCACCCAACTTAAACCAGACAAATCCACTGGTTAGTTATTTAGGAACTAAGAACAAAGAATACACACAGTAGGGGACTGTATTCTAAATGTCTGGCTCTCTGTAAATAGCCAAACAAGCACAGAGTACTGTCCGGGATAGGAGAAGTAAAGAACTACCTTAATATTGTCTAAGAAGATTGACCTTAATGAGTAAACATGTCATATTACTTCCATACATAACAGCTGTGGTATAACTACTGGAATAGAGAGTTGAGTTTAGTCTGCATTTTAAGATTATGCTGAGGAACGGGGAAGGACCACAAGAAAAGCTAAAAAATTAACCAAAGTCTGAAAAACATTTATCAATTCTAAGACCTCTTAAAAATCAAATTTTATCAAAAAAGAAAAGGTTATGGAAAGATTTAATGTTATATAGACAGCTGTATGGAAGAAGATATTTAATCTTGGGTTCTTTAATAAAGCCTAATAGGATCTTTGTATTTTTTTTAAGATGACCTAAGTGTTCATGCAAGAGAAACCACTGCAACTAAGTGCAAGTTCACTCCTTCAGGGTCAATGGCAATTTTGACAATTTTGACAGACTTCAGCAGAAGCAGGATCAGCTTCAGCATCACATTTCACAGGTCTACGACAAGTAAAACTCACTTCACACTTAGAAGAGATGCTGGAGGTACATCATATTGTTTCAAAAGTACATATAAAGAATTCAGATTTGTGGTGGCATCCCTTGGAAATTCGTTTGTGTCCCACTGCCTGCAATATATTAGGAATTGATCATTATTTTTCATGAGAAATATTATTGATTAAAAACTTCAAATAACTCTCCTGACTTTAAAATAGCTGGTTCTTAGTCCAATCTACCAGTGGGATACTGGATTTTGAAATAGCAAGGAAAAAGATTTAAAAATCAAGTCAACAAAACCTACTTCAGTATGCCAGTAAGCTTCTCAGAGACAGACAGATACGAAGCACAAAAAACAGTCCAGCATAAGAATTTAACATTTTAAATGTTAAAGTACATTTTATTCCAGAAGCAAAGAAAAATGGTGTGCAAATTGCCTTTCCTGTAATGTCAACATAAATTAATTCACTGTAACGAGAAGAACTAATACTTTTAAAATGGGGAAGTGTTGAGACATCGGAAAAAAATGGTATTTTGTTCTTAAGTCTAATTTTCAAAATTGTTTTATGCCTTTAAAATTTAAAAAGATGTAAAAGTTTAAAATGTATTATGCTTCCCATCCTTGTGATTCATGCATTATATTTTAGATGTGATTTCCCCGCTCCATCTTTACTCTCTTACACATGACTTGTGTACTGAAATGCAACCTGTTGGATACAAAAATGTCTTTTAACCTCTTAAATCTGTTCATCCAAGAATATCTGTACAACACACTATTCCCTACATTCCCAAAGAACTACCTCACTTTTTAGCTGAGGCTGTACTCTAGACAGGCCTGTCAGTTACTACTCAAACTGACATTTTAGTTTTCCTTTTGAGAAACTAATCTTTGCAGTAGATTTTATACTGGCATATGGGATACCAGAACCTGACCCTACCTCTGTAGTGTCAAGCATCAAAGTACAAGCGTAAGGACACATTTTAATACTTACAATTTAAACACCTGCATTTTATAAATAATTGAAAAACAGATGGAATTTTGTATTTCCTTCTCTACCTGGGAAACATCCATTAGTTTGTGATATACCTATAAAATAATAATTTAATTATTAATTTACTAAAAAAAATCAAAACAAAACAAAAAACCAAAGGACGTTCAACAGGGCTAAAATAAAGCAGATATGTTGAATACAGCCTTTTCATGGACTCTGAAGGCAGTGAAGCTACTATGATAACCTATGTCATTCTGCAGACACCACAAAGATCACCTGGTAGAGCTATACTAATCTTTACATAGTGAGGATCAGCGGTATTAACAGCAGAAATCCAAATGTGGAACTAACATCTTCTGATATTGCCATTGTGAAATCATCTGATCCAGCTACAAGAAATGAGCCCTATTCAGATTAATCTTCAACTATAAATTTTGGATAACAAAAAATATTATGAAGAAAGGACAATAAACTGTAGTTACTTCAGTTTAACCTTAGAGTTACACGTTAAGTGTATGCACACCATTTTTTCTGACTCACACTGACTGCCCATCACAATTAATACTGATTACTTAAGCTGTACTGGCACATTAAGTTTTGCAGGACTTGAATGTGCTGTTACTAAAGCACTTGATAGTGTGGATCGTACTTCTGTAGCCCTGCTGAGATACGCAACCCAAGTACAATTTTAGACCTCCTTTATTCTTCTGTTTAAGGTCAAGGCTCAACACTGCCTTTAAAAAATACAAAAGTAATTTTGAGGTGATCTAAATGTTATTGCTTTGTTAATATCACACCTCTGGAAGGTCATGTATTGGTTTTCTTAATCCAAATTATAAATGACTTTATAAACATATGCTCTTAAACTGCAGTGATCGTGAGTGGATAGAAAACACAATAAACAGTATAGCAGAATGAAAGAAAACATGACTGAATGCAACTTTCATGTTCTATTTCCCCATTTCTGCTTTTGCCAGTGTTCAGACAGGAAATAAGAGTGTTCAGACTTTTATTTCCTAAATTAAGGGCTTTTAAGAAATGTGAACTATTATCATATTCTCCAATTCCCAGAACTACCTATAGCATTTTAGTTGGGTCATTTAAGTATTTATCAGTATGACAAAAGTCAACAGATGCTAAATATGCCCTCAGTGGCATAAATCAGGTTAAGCTGCACCTTCTGTGTTAACAGCAATTATCCCCAAACAGAATTTTTAGGGTTAGTGACAGCTACCCCAATGACATTATGTTGCATTAAAAGAACATGAAGCAGTAGGGAGCTCTTTAGCTTATAGTATAAAAAAATGTATAAATTGCAAAAATCTCTGCATATATCTACTACATCATTTTGTAGCTCACAAAATTTAAATGAAGGAAACAACATACTTAATGATTATAACTATGATCTGATTACATGCAAAGAAAGCTCCTGTCTTACTGGAAGTTTAAAAATATTTTACAGCAGTACCATTAGAGAAAATATTTGAGAGTATTTATCTGGAACATTCTCCTTGATAAAGACTGCTGCAGCAGAGGAAAACTCTTTTGCCTCTTTCAGTTTTGAAGCATCGAGGAAGCACTCCAGTAAATTTCTGCAGATCAAATAAATATTTTTATTAAACACTTATTAATGCTTTCTGAAAGAATTCTAATTTTTTCAAAAGACTATATTCCAGGCATCATTCTTAAATGCAGTACAAGTGATTAGTGCCACAAGGCATTGACTCAAAAAAGATCCTCTAACATCTGCATCTTTGTATCTTCCAGAGATATAGAGCTGTTACCATACACTTATTGCAGATCACAAAAATAATCATAGAAAAGGAGATTTTTGTGAAAATTTTTCTCAATGGCACACGTAGAACTAAAACAATTATTTAAAGTTGTATGAGAAAAATATTTCTGTGAGATGTATTTCAAGATTCTCCCCTAACTGCAGGAAAGGCTGATTATTTCAAAGCCAGCTAGCAAAATTATTCATGTTGGGAACTGCAACATATCTACTCGATTTTCAATACTTTATCAGATTAAACAGAAGAAGAGCCTGTGATTCCATGAAATAAACAGCAATAATAAAAATTATTCAATAAACAAATACAATTGTAAGAAAAAATAAATGCTACCATTAGATTTATAATGGTAGCATTGTAACACACTATGTGCACTTGTTAGGTCCCATCAATACTTTGTCAAGAGTATGTGAAGTATAAAAGAAGTGCATGCATGATATTCTAGATAACCCTTAGCCTACCCTTGGAATGTTTCGTTACTTAATTTTTTACTTTCCTCCATTTTCAGCTTATAAAGAAAGTGCTGCCTAGCAATAAACCATCAGAAACAGAAAAGTTCAGAAAAACGAGGGAAAAATAGCAGAAACAGAAAAAACAGCAGTAACAGGAACTGAAAACAGTCTGTAGAAGAGCAGATCAAAATATCTCTGAGAAACGTTGTCTGATCTTGAAAAATTACATGGATGGTCTTCACACATCAAACTATTTCTCTCAGTAAAATATCTCAAAGTTTATGCTCAAACTTCACTCAGGAAATGTAAGAATGATAATAAATTGATACTGATACACCATTTATTAACAGTTACTATCAAATTATTATCAAATAATTGATAATAATGCAAATATCTATAATAGTGTTCAAATAGTGCACTGGATTGATTATGCGGGTTTTTTGACCTGCATTTTAATCTCACTTAGGAAAAAAAAACATTCAGTGCAGTTCTAAAAGTAAAATTACCATCAACAAATTAATTCAGTAGCAGAATCAGGTACTATAAAAATACAGTTCTGACTCTGTATTCCTTTTAATTTTCAAATTAGAAGATGAGAGTGGAGACTTGATGCCACCTTTGCCTCAGTTTTCACCAGGAAAGTCTCCCAGACCTTGTGCCTGGTGAAAGCATTCGAACACATCAGTAAAGCAGATCAACAGAGAAAGACCTGAGGTGCTGGTGAGCAGCCAACTGAACACCAGCCAGCAGTGTTCAGCTATGGAACCAAAGGCAGCCTGCAGCATTCTGGGCTGTATTAAGAGGAGTTCATACAGTAGATCATGGAGGCCCCCAGGGGTTCCTGAGAAGATGCACTCAGGCTCTTTACTAAGGTGCATGGCAGGAAGACAAGTGACAACATGTGCACACAGAAAAAAGAGCAGTTTGAAGTGGTAATTAAGAGGATAGTCACATACTTTTTCTTAGCAGAAGTGATCATGTTTAAACAAAAAGATTTAAATCCTACTGCCTGAACAACCCACTGATGATGTCCAAAAAATGGGCATGCAGGTGTCATCATACAGACACCATTCAACACGCAATGGGAAGTCAGAATGAGACCACCCATATATAGCTCAAACAAGCAAGCATATTTTCAGTATATACACTGATAATTTTTTAAGCATACTGTACAATATGTTAACATGTACCTTTCTAATGTTCTTAGTATGGAAAAATGTATTTAAAGGCAACACATCAAAAGATATTATTCAGTCACTTAAACCCCAGCAACTAGAGCAGAAAGTAACAACATACATGTCAATTTAAAAACTCTGGATCTGTACCTATATTTCAAAATTACCTTTAATAAGGTTGCATTTTTCATTTCCTTAAACAAGTAATAAGGACTCTAAGTCCTGCTTAACAATGGGGGAAAACAACTACAATGTACTTCTTCAGCATCAAATTTGTCTTCAGGGCAATATCAATTGCTAAAATTCTGACTAGGATTAATTATTTAAGTCAGGGTAAATTACACCATACATACTTCTGAACAGTACTGTATGCATAAAAACTTACATATTTCCTAAATAGAACTTTAAATTGGCTGAAAATTTTCAAATTTTCATTTATGACAGAAATAAATGTGGAAAGCACTTTTATTCAACCCTAGATTACTAATCTCTTCCCTAAAAACTATTAGACTTTTAATTATTTCTTTTTTTTTTTTTTTGCATAATACTCGAAGATATTCTGTGAATTCACCTTGTTGGGAGGTTTAACTCTTGAATAACAACCCATTTCCCTTTGTTGCCTCCCAGAAAGAAAACCTATTAGTTAAAACAAAACTATTAAGATTAATTATAATTAAGATTTATGCAAGTTATTCTTCTTCTCATAACTTTTGGCTCTTATTTTGCATAAGACTAATTAAAAGAACACTTATTTCATTTATGCTTTGAAACATTAGGTCAAACAGTGTATCAAAATTATCAGGGACAGCCTTTAATTTAATACTGAATAAAGCTGGCTATAATACTAGTTAGAAAAGAAAACTTGATGTAAACTAATTACATTGATAAGAACTATACATTACCAAATTACACATTAAAGCACGTGTCTGGCATATAAAAACCACATCACTACTGATGACAACTCATCACTGTATTCTTAATTGCTCCGTTAATGATACAAATACATATTTTGCTCACTGATTTTTCATAAAGCTTCATTTCAACACAGACTTATGGATTAACAAAAGAAAAAATAGTAAGAAAGATAACTTAGGTTACTATATATACACAAAAAGTATATATACAGTATTTATATATAAAAATACTATTTACATATAAATACTATATATATAAAAAAACTATTTATTCAGGATACATTCTAATTTCATTATGCAGATTCTATATATAAGAAAGATAAACAGGTCACTATATATATAGTATTTATATATATAAAAACAGTATTTATATATACAAGTAGGAGTTATATATATAAGTACTATACATAGTATTTTTATCTAAATAGTATTTAGATATACAAATTTATATATATATTACTATTTAGAAATATATATTTTATATGATATCATTAATATATAATATTGTCATATGATAAATTAATATTAACATTTAATATATTTATATACTTTCATATATAAATGAATATTTTATATATAAATATATATATAACAGCCTTACCAGGCTGTTTCTTTCTATTCAGGAATCAAAGGCCAGAAGAGATTTTTGTTTATCTATTTAAAGGCAATGTTTCTTTACCTGAAGAAAATAGTTCTTAAAAAAATGAGTTTGTCTTTCTCCTCACTTAAAAGGACTGCACATGAGCAATGACTCAAACACTACATCCAAAATGACTGTGATGCTTCAGATTGGACCTGGGGCCTAACTGCCTCTGCCACTAAAATTTTAACCTCAAAGTAAACACTAAAATGAAGCACTTTTTGCTTCATAAAATGAAGTACCTTTATATATCTTTAAAAAGTTATGAATTAAGCTTTCTATAATAAATGTGTCTACAATATTGCCAATGAAATATACATTACTAAAGACTACCTCAGGTGGCAGTCACATGTTCGAGAGGACTACAGAATGCCCAGATGAAAAACTAAAATTAACTTACATCATGAGTTCTGCTCTCCATTCATGGTCTTGCTCTTCAGTTTGGTTTAAAACTTGAACAATCTGAGAAAGGCTAGGAATAAGGCAATAGCGGAATCCAGGCTTAAGATACGGCCTTACAAGTTTCCAATAAAGAACTGAGGCATTATATATCAAAAAATAGTATCTGAAAAATAAGAATCAAGAATTAGGTATTTCATGGACTTAGGTAGACATAAAATTACAGATGGAGTATTTTAAGACACTTTAAAGCAGTAAAACTTTGGACTTTTACCGTGTTTAAATAAGAACCAATCCTGGCTGAGAACTGAGAACAGCCCAACAAGAAGAACAACTGTACTCTACCCAGTAATTAACCACTTAAAATAAGCTAACATGGTGCCCTCTGTTACAGGCCATAAATATAAAAAGGAAAGAAATGCTCAGAGGTATCCACCAGCCTTAAACAGGCTGATTCATCCCATCTGTTTCAAATTGTTCAGTACTCTTACATTGCAACATGCACAGCAGTTGCAGAAGTGCAGAAGTAAAGTAACAAAATGGAAGGAAAATCCACAAATGAAAAAAACACCTGAACAGCACAACCCCAGCCTACCTAGGGAAAATCTGACACAATCAGCTGAGACATTAGGCCAAATAGTGTATCAGTAGCATTTCCTGAGATTTAAAGAGTTAATCCTGTCAGTAGGGCCTACCTTTGATCATGGGTGGCAAAATCTATTGCCTTCATAAAAAGCTGCACAAACTTTTCAAACGCTTCCTAGAACCAAAAAAAACCAAAACAAACAGACAACAAAACAAAACAAACAAACAAAAAAAATAACCCACAAAAAATTAGTGCAATTGGAGTATGGCTTTTACAAGTCAGTACATTATTTTTCCTGTTTTCAGACCAGTATCAAATAAAACTGCTGCCATAATAATTTGCTGACACAGAAACAGAATAACTAAACATCAGTAGCACTGTCTATTATTATGTTTTTCTGATTTTAGATTTTAAGACTGTATTTTCAGTTTCTTTCATTTCTGCTGAACTTTAACTATCAGGACTGAAATTTTCCAAACCAGCAAAGCTGTGTAGCTTTTAAGTCTTCAGCAAAGAAGCTTAAAAACATCCAAGCGCAAAGCCAGGAAAAAGAAATAATACTGGTTTGTCCCACTAAAAACTTGAGGTATTATTTGCTTCAGAAAAAGCTCCAACAAGATTTTGAATGGCCACCTGAATGGTGTGTCAGGCATGCTCTTTTAGTCATTAAAGCAGTGGGGAAGCAGCTTTTCAGAGGACACAGGGGACCTGGGATGCCATGCTGAACACACGCCAGCAGCATGCCCTCGCAGCAAAGATGGCTAACAGTGTTCTGTTTGCCTTTGCTCGCTAGGCTCTTGTTAAGCCACCTTTGCTGCAAGGTGGCTAACAGGACACTGAGTAAGCATTACCAGCAGGTTGAGGGAGGGGATACTTCCCCTCTACTCTGCTTGGCACTGGTGGGGCCACATTTGGGAGTATTGTGCCCAGTTCTGGGCTGCCCAGTACAAGAAACATGGATACTCTGGAGAGAGTCCAAGGGCCACAAAGATAATGAAGGGACCGGAACATCTTTCATAAGAGGAAAGGCTGAGACAGCGGGGACTGTTTAACCTAGTCAAGAAGGTTCAGAGAGAGAGAACTGAGTAAATAGAACTCCAAGAGTTGGTATTGATTTACTGGACCCCATGACTGGCATAAGAAGGTTGCTGAGCAATGAGATGCAACTACCTACATAATGAGAAATGTAGGTTTAAGAGCCTGAGAGATATTAGACACTAAAGCAGAAAAGTTGCACTTGGCCCCTAAGAATATAAGCTTCTTAATCAGATAACAAGGATTGCTTAGGATGGAAACCGAAATAAGATCAAACATATTTTCTAAATGAAGCACGATTACTAGTCATACAGCATCAGTGTCGTGCCACTCCTACTTTCAGAAATGGTCTAGGAACACAGCAGTGAAAAAACTCTACAGCTGATACAAAGTGTATCTTAAAAGCATATTACTACACTTAGCACAAGGAACCAAGTTAGTATTGCTCATACTGAGACAGTTCTTAACTTCTAAGAAGTTAGAAAGAAGAAACCAGCAAAATTTTGCTGAGATTTAGACATCAGCAGAAACTTGTTTAATTTAGACACATAAAAGGGTAACTGGACATTAGAAAATACTTTTCAAATGCGTATGCGATTTTAAAGGAACCATGGATCAGTTGTTCTGCATATGCACTGGGAGAAGGCAGAGAAAATACAGATAATAAAACAGGGAAAAGATTCTAGTTTGAAAGTTAATTCAAGCCCATTATTCAAAGAAACTACAGCAACTACTTGTCCTGGGTTCAGCAGTAGCAATCATGTTGCATGCTGCAATCATGACAGAAACTACTGTCAGGGAAATTTGTGAACACAAATAACACAAATATATCTTAAGCCTATCTTAGAAGGTCAGGTATCATTGACAAATTGTCAAAGCTGACTGACCACAGTACAAGGACAACTGAAATACTGAAAACAGATCCCACTTCACTTCAAACTCAGGAGGAGGTAAAAACTGCTCATCATGTACAGCAAGGTACCACCAAACAAAAACACACAGAAGCCTTCAGAAGCAAAAGTATCCTGCTGAGCTGCTACCAGAAAGCTTCAGCATCCAAAGTACTACATGGAAAGGTCACTGGTCAGTGGTGGAAGCACACTGCCCCAGAAGAGAAATGAATTGTACAACCTCTCCAAGAGCCCCCAAGAGTCCTTCAGTTCTACAAGCCTGTGACATGCTTACTGTGATCCTGAATAAAACCTGTAATTACCAGTTACAGCCAAATTTGATCTGAAAGTATCATATTGATGTAAAAAGTGAAAAGGTTGACTTTAAAACAATTGCCCTCCTGAAAAATTTTGCAACCTTTCTTTTTCCCTCCCCCAAATGTTTGCAGTATTAGTCTAATTCAGCTGGTAAATTCTGTTTATTCCCAAATTAGCCATTAATATATTTTCCTTTGATTTTTCCCAAGTCCTGATTAACCTTGTGTATTTTCAGTGACTGAAAGCAATATGTAAAAACCTAGGAAGAAAAACTTAAAAACTGTCTTAATATAATGCAAACTTCATAATTTCTCACCAAATTATCTGTAGACAGTGGAGTGTACAACTGGCCTTGGCACAAATATGCTCTGCCAAGAAACTGGTTCACAGGAAATCTCCCTTTAAAATACATTTCTAGACAGTCTCTGCTCATTTCCAGACACCCCAGCTAAGATAAAAAAAAAGGCATTTTAAGATTTAAAAAATGTAACAAATAATTGAGATTTCTTGTTTTTTTTAAATGCAGACCTACGAAAAATGTAGTGTCTAACTGCATGTCAGTGTGCGAACATTACTCCATAAAGCTGTATATCAGATCTGGCACAAACTCATTCAGATTTATTAAAATTTAAAGTTAGACTTTTGTCATTCCAAATGTATAGGAAAATATATCCTTTATTTAACAAAGCTCCCAGATCACTCAGTCATAGAACCCTTCACAGTGAACAAAGAAAGTTTACTTTTCTAATAGCCATTAACAGAATTGTTAACATATAAGCAAAATTCTTAGTAGAATTTTTAAAGGACAGATATTAGCCCACATGATTTTGTATGGATGTCAGTGCTGCACCTCAGTTTTCAGACAACAGATAGAATTTGAATGGCCTGCAGCTCGGGAAAAAAATAAAATTGTTTTATTAGAAACTCTGTCTGCTTGAAATCCAATCACTTATACCCATGGATTGAAACAAATACATCCAAATTAAGAACCTGGACCACATTTTATAAAAGTCAGCTCAATTAGCAACAGTCTTTCATAACTAGGATGTTATCTTTTCTCCTTTTGCCCAGTAGGGACAGTTCACAAAGACATTTCCTTCAGTCATAACCAAACTGCTAATGTTACTTTTCAATTTTATATTCTTATATTACTGTTTTATATTGTTATAGTATACCTTGCATATTAAACTTCACAACCTGCATTTTGTTGACTGATTATAAAGAAGTGATAATCTAGAGGCCAAGTTTTAAGTGAAAATGTATGTTTAAACAATTGCTCTCCAAAAATAGAAAAGTGATGTTTTTCACTTCAGGGAATATTTTTAAGTAGTAACTTTAACAACACTAAATGCAGTATGTCTTATAAATGTTTTTATTCAATAAACTGCCTCAATGACAAACCTGAAATGCTTGTTCAGCACATAAAACATACAAGTCAGTGCTGAAGTTATCAGATGAGTCAACTGCAAATCTCCCTTGACTGGCTGATTTGATCAGCTCATAAGCATCCTTCAAAGCCTGAACATCTGAAATGAAAAAAGAATAAAGAATGTAACAGGAAATTTAGGCTTCAAGGTGGACCAGCAGACACAACTGCATTATTTCAAACTATAAGGCATCCCGTTTCTCCTTTACAGAAATAAATAATGCTTAAGGAAAATAATATCAAACAAATGTTGTTCCAAGTCAGCCACAGTTGTAAGATGAAGAAGCATTAACAACCCTCTTGCAGTTTAAAACCACCAATGTTAGCACATGAGAAAGCAAACTAGTTTGAGGGCCCGATTCAACTCCCTGAACTCAATAGTACTCCTTCTCCTGACACAGAAATTAGGCTGTTACACGAAGTAAACTTGTCTGGAAGAAAACTAGATTAAATTAACACCACTACAGCAGCTACTTCTCTTCATAGCTAAGCAGCACAGTCAAAGCATTCACAGAAGAAATACTTTTTCGACATATTTAGCAACAAAACAGATTGAGATCAAGCAGTGATCGCGTTTAAAGTGCGGTTTTTCTCTTTTAAAGGCGGGCGAGACTTCCTCCCCCCTTGCCTCTGACCTCGGCATCTCTCGGCCGCGAAGAGCCGCTCCCTGACGGCCAGCTCCATGCCGCGCACTGCGCCGGGCCCTGCTCGGCCGCCCCCCACGAAGTTTCACCCCGAGCCACGGAGCACGAGGCGTTTTCCGGTGAGCTTGGCGGAACCACCGAGAGAACCGGCGGCCGGAGGCGTCCGCCCGGAGACCCGCAGTCAGGGCGGGCACCCCTGCTGCCTCCGGGCCCTCTCCTCGCGCCCGCCGCCACTCGAGACTGCCGTTACCCTTCGGGCGCGCGTGTCCCAGCAACGCTCCACAACAGATCCCGGTAAGCTGGAGGGGCCAACCCGCCGGCCCTGCCCGCTGCCGCGATACACAGGGGCCGAGAGCGGCCCCTGGAAACAACCCGCCACCGGCCGCCAGCGCAGCGTGAGGCACCCCGAAGAGTCCGTCGGAGGGAAAGTAAAAACATCCTCCTCCGGTAACGATCGCTGCTGCCTTTGAAGCAGTGTTAACCGCTGCGGCTTGTGCCACAGCACGTGTCACCTACTCCCCCTAAAAAAACAGTGCATGTAACGCACGCTTTCGTGATTAAACTGTATAAAATAAACTTCTCAGCCAGCCGCAAGGTAGCAAAGGCAATGACTGGCAGCCTCCTGCAGATAAAACTTACTGAGAAATGCTGTCACTGGTCCTTTTTGTCCCTGTCTTGAGAGCTTCTAACATGAAACCTTTGGAAATAGAGCATACACCACCAGTGATGGAAGCCTGGGGAGCAGGCAGAACAAAATGCCAAAGTACGTTTTCATCATTTCTGCCAATGCAGAGAGGAGCCATGGGCTGGAGTATGAACAATTCTCTTTTGAGACTTGTTTCACTGCATGTCACCAGGCACAAGTTTATGATTAAAGAAAAAACAAACGAAACCCAAACAAAACCAACCAAAGCAAACAAGCAAACAAAACCCTTCAAACAGTCCAGAAAAGAGAGAAAGTCAAAAACCCCCTGGAAGCTCCCTGGCTGCCCTGACATGAGGACACCAAATGAAGCATTTAGGCCTTCATAATTTCCTCCAATTGCTTCTTCATGGCAAATTCTATGAGGTAAATCACCATAGTCATGCAGACAATAGAAAGGTTTACATATATAAATTCAATTTTAAACCTAAGCCCTTTGCACTTTCTGCTAAATTTAAATTCTGTGTGGGGCAGGTATTCAGTTCCAATGGACAGAACACATCACTCTTATGTGTGGTGTTGCTGGTGACTTTCCAGAGACATTTTCTTGCAGCCATCCTTAGCTGAATGAAAGATGACTATTAGCAGGGCCATAAGGGTAACAAAAAATATAAATGGTAAGTACAACGAATTCTTTTGCTAGAGGCCCAGCTCCTGAATAAGTCACATATGCTGTGTATTTCAGAACAGTAGAAGGTCCTTCGGTTTACGAAGCATGGGAAACATTGCACGTATGTACAAGAATCTGATGAGAATTCAGCAGTAGACTCCTTCCTATTCTCTATCTGTTCTCCTACCTGTCCACAAAGCCCTCTGAAATTAAGTAACTTGTCTGAATGTTAATAAATATGTATGAATATGCTTGTATAAATGTTAATAAATAAGACTCATCTGTGTACTTTAGGTGGGAAAGGAAACAAAACCCTACAGTGAATCTGCGGTGATTTCTGAAGAAGAAAGCTATGTATTGGCCTTGTGTAATTATGTCAGGTAGTTACAGCAACGGCCTACTGGGACTTACCGTGGTGCCCGTACCATGTTAGCACCCAAACTTCATACCTCCTAACACGCGACCCAGCTACGGGGCAGCGGACGGGCGCCGCGCCGGCCACCCCCAGCCCGTGGGCGGGCGTGGGTCCCTGATGCGCATGCGCTTCGGCTCGTCCGGGGCTGCGGCGGCCGACGTTTCTTAGCGACGAGGCGCCGCCATGCGCGGGCTCTGGGAGGTGGTGCTGGTTCTGCTGCTGGTGCGGGTGACTCCGCCCGGAGCCGCCGCCGAGCTCGCTGCCGGGACCGCGCATCGAGCCCTTCCCCGAAGCCAGAAAGTGGCTTCGCGCCGAGCCCCGGCGGCCCGGGCCCTCTCCCAGACCTCCGCCGCCGGGCCCTGCTGTGACGGTCCCGCTGCTCACATCCGTCGCCGCGCCCCGCGGGCAGCCCGCCATCGCCTCTCCGCCGACGGCTTCCCCGCCCGCCGCCTGCCGCCCGGCGCCCGCGGCCTGCGCGACCCTGGGGCCGCCGAGTCATCCCGCCTGTCCGGTGGCAGCAGGTGAGCAGGGGACAGGCCCGCAGCGCAGCTGGCGCCGCTTCAGGCGCTGCTGCCCCTGCACCCGGGCGGGCAGTGGGAGCCGCCGTCCGGCAGTGCTGGTTTTGCTGCCGTGCGGGCCGCGCCTGCGGGCACGGGGCAGTTTAACCCCGAGTGGAGGGCTTGGGAAGAGGTCCCGTGGCCAACGCCTTAATGGCCCGAGTAGAGCCGGGCTTGGTTACTGCGGTGAGGCCACTGGCGGTGGGAGCTAGTAAGTTTTACCTCAGGGAAAAAGAACTTTAATATACAGCTTGTAGACAGTGAAGCGACAGTGAAGCAGTTCCAGATTGCGAGATGCTGTCAGTGAGGAAGTTAGCTTCAGCTGCTTGGAGAGTTCAAATACGTGGATCTTTGCGGACCGTCTTTGCAGATGCACTTGTGAAGAGGACCGAGGAGAGCTCTAATACGCAGACATTAAATTACCACTTTTTGTTCCAGGAAATTTCAGAGTGATTTCTGAATATTCAACTAGAGAGTATCCTCAGAGTTACTACAATGACGAGAGGGCCTTTCAGTAATTAATTATCAATGCGAATTGTACAATATCTCATGTAAAGTCATGAAAAATAATAGTGTTCTGTGACTGGCATTTAGTAATGCAAAATATGAAATGATGCAAGAATAGTATCTAACAGTTTGCTGGGGGGTGGAACTTGTCTTTGCAGGTCTGTAAGTCAAGTGTGTGTGGAAAAATCAATCCTGTTCAGAAGTAATGCTCCTTATCCAACTGATACCGTTCCTGTCCCTGATGGACCTGTTCTGTTCTGTGTGCAGCTGCATGACTGTAAGTAGCCTATCTTTCCATGCATTTAATTGATAGATTGCCTCTGCTTAGGGATATTTTTTTTTTTAAACTTTCAACTTGCATGTTATGATTTTTACTAAGTATTTGGGCTGTTAAGAGTTCCAGAGAGACCACAGTGACTCAGGATCCGATCTCCAAAGACAAACAAAACCAAAGACTCTTTAAGAGTAGAGTCTCTTGCTAAATACAAATCAGCTTTTATCAGTTGTTTCTGTATCTGAGTTTGCTACACTTACAGCAACAAATAAGGGTTGATGTTTGAAATGTACCACTATTGCTTTTACCAGAAAGCGATTTGTTATATCTTGGATTCTTTATTTCATATGCTTATTTTCATACTTTTTTCTCTTCTGGCAATGCTTTTTCTCTACTAATCATATACCCTCATAGGATTAACACTCCATTAACACTTTTTTCCTCTTTCTGCTTTCCACATTGTATGTCAGTTGGCTGATTTTATGTCCAGCTCTGACATTCATTGAAATTCACTAACATTTGAACACTTACGGTTTTCCCATTTGAGTCTTTTGCCTGGGAGTTTTGACCCACAGTCCCATCTAGTTCTGACCCAAATCATAGGCCATTTTAGGTTGGGAGGGGCTCAGGAGGTTAAGTGGTCCAACAATTAGTCAAAATAGGGTTAGCTTCCCATTATCTAGTCTTGCTTTCAGGTCTTCACAGCTGATGACAATGTTTTGCATACGGGGAGGAGCTGAGAAACAATGAGAGCCTCAATGAGAGCCTACGTGATAAGTAGTAGTGCTAGAACTTCACCCATTCCAATTTTCAGTAGGTCTCAGAGTAAAGATGAATTTTGATGAGGATTTAACCATAGCTGAAAGTGCCATCAGCCTCCTGGGTATTGCAGCCTCTAAGTTGGAAGTAGCTAAACTTTATCCTTTTCCCATACCACCCATATCTAATCATAGGATTAGAAGAATTCTGAATCTGTAATCTTGTCCAAAGGAAGGATCATCTGTGTCCAGACGGATGTCAGGAGATTTTTCTGTCAATTGATTATTTGGGCCCTGTATCTATCATGTGATTTGACCAACTGAACAAGCCATAGACATTTGATTGCACATGTCTGTTAGGTGTAGCACACCTGGGAACAACAGAATTCACTGCTTACATAGCCTTTTCTTTTTCTGTGCTTGCTGAAAAAAATCTGAGAAACTTCATTTGAGATCACCTGAAGGATGATAAAGTTCTCTGGTAGAAACAGGCTTCTCCCCTTCGGCCTTCCCCAAGGAAACATAGAAATACACATGTTCTCATCAAGTAATTGTGGAAGACGCCTTTCCAGGATGGACTTGACATGAGCTGCATCTGGCAGAAATACAATCAAGCTAACTCCAGATGGCCTCCTGGAAAAGGGCGAGTGGGAACAGGCTCTGACCCTAATGAGCTATTGTGGCCAGTAACTAAGATGGTGTGATGCACAAACATCATTCACCATCGCAAGTAGACACCAGCATAGTTTTCAAGTTTTACTAATACTTCTTCAGAAAGGATACTGCTAAAAGATGGAGGTTTTCTTATTCCTCTGCTTGTTACTAATGTCTCTTTCCATGACTGTCCTCATTCTTTCCTGGCTGCAGGACTCTTTCAGCTGTCTTTTCTGAAGTATAAAACTTACTTTGCTTCGCCCTGTCATCTTTCTTGCCTATTTTTTTCATTTTTTACTATTGCCATCCTTCAGTTGCTTTATGTTTCTGCTTTTTCATACTGTTGTTCTCTATCTGACAGCTGTCCAGAACTCTGGCATTCCTCTAACCTTGAGAGCTAATCACACCCGATCTTTCTTTTGTCCCCTCTGTAGCCCTTTTTTCCTTTGCAGTTTTTCCCAGTACTGCCTGTCTTGTGCTAAGGATTGAGTTTCATGTATGTCTTAAACGGATTTTAGATTGTATTGATACTAAATGGAGCAGTGTGACTGCGCACTACATCCCTAACAGTTCCTTCTGTTTGATGATACTGTAGCTGGCTGAGTCAGGCAGTCTTGCTGATCCAACTGAAACTAACTCTTTAAGAGGAAGATATCAGCTCTTAGGGACAGTTGTAAATCCTGGATATTTTCAAAATATATAAAATACTTTTAAAAGCATTCCTGTTTCACACACTAACTTCTCAAGATAACAACTTTGTCTTTAGCTTTTGCAGGTGTTAGGAGAATATTGCTGCTATTTCCACTTCTAAATCAGTGGAAGAACTAAAATAAGTTTTAAACTT